ACCTGCGCATTATTCAGACACTAGATGGAAACAAACAGTCAAAAACACAATAGAAACTAAAACAGCTGATGGAGTATACACTAACCTGCGCAATATACAGACACTAGATGGAAACAGTCTAAAACAGCTGATGGAGTATACACTAACCTGCGCATTATTCAGACACTAGATGGAAACAAACAGTCAAAAACACAACAGAAACTAAAACAGCTGATGGAGTATACACTAACCTGCGCATTATTCAGACACTAGATGGAGACAGTCAAAAACACAACAGAAACTAAAACAGCTGATGGAGTATACACTAACCTGCGCATTATTCAGACACTAGATGGAAACAAACAGTCAAAAACACAACAGAAACTAAAACAGCTGATGGAGTATACACTAACCTGCACATTATTCAGTCACTAGATGGAGACAAACAGCCAAAAACACAACAGACACTAAAACAGCTGATGGAGTATACACTAACCTGCGCAATATACAGACACTAGATGGAGACAGTCAAAAACACAACAGAAACTAAAACAGCTGATGGAGTATACACTAACCTGCGCATTATTCAGACACTAGATGGAAACAAACAGTCAAAAACACAACAGAAACTAAAACAGCTGATGGAGTATACACTAACCTGCGCATTATTCAGACACTAGATGGAGACAGTCAAAAACACAACAGAAACTAAAACAGCTGATGGAGTATACACTAACCTGCGCATTATTCAGACACTAGATGGAAACAAACAGTCAAAAACACAATAGAAACTAAAACAGCTGATGGAGTATACACTAACCTGCGCAATATACAGACACTAGATGGAAACAGTCTAAAACAGCTGATGGAGTATACACTAACCTGCGCATTATTCAGACACTAGATGGAAACAAACAGTCAAAAACACAACAGAAACTAAAACAGCTGATGGAGTATACACTAACCTGCGCATTATTCAGACACTAGATGGAAACAAACAGTCAAAAACACAACAGAAACTAAAACAGCTGATGGAGTATACACTAACCTGCACATTATTCAGTCACTAGATGGAGACAAACAGCCAAAAACACAACAGACACTAAAACAGCTGATGGAGTATACACTAACCTGCACATTATTCAGTCACTAGATGGAGACAAACAGCCAAAAACACAACAGACACTAAAACAGCTGATGGAGTATACACTAACCTGCGCAATATACAGACACTAGATGGAGACAGTCAAAAACACAACAGAAACTAAAACAGCTGATGGAGTATACACTAACCTGCGCATTATTCAGACACTAGATGTAGACAAACAGCCAAAAACACAACAGAAACTAAAACAGCTGATGGAGTATACACTAACCTGCGCAATATACAGATACTAGATGTAGACAAACAGCCAAAAACACAACAGAAACTAAAACAGCTGATGGAGTATACACTAACCTGCGCAATATACAGACACTAGATGGAGACAAACAGCCAAAAACACAACAGAAACTAAAACAGCTGATGGAGTATACACTAACCTGCGCAATATACAGACACAAGATGGAGACAAATAGTCAAAAACACAACAGAAACTAAAACAGCTGATGGAGTATATACTAACCTGCGCAATATACAGACACTAGATGGAGAAGTCTAAAACAGCTGATGGAGTATACACTAACCTGCGCATTATTCAGACACTAGATGGAAACAAACAGTCAAAAACACAACAGAAACTAAAACAGCTGATGGAGTATACACTAACCTGCGCATTATTCAGACACTAGATGAAAACAAACAGTCAGAAACACAACAGAAACTAAAACAGCTGATGGAGTATACACTAACCTGCGCATTATTCAGACACTAGATGAAAACAAACAGTCAGAAACACAACAGAAACTAAAACAGCTGATGGAGTATACACTAACCTGCGCATTATTCAGACACTAGATGGAAACAAACAGTCAAAAACACAACAGAAACTAAAACAGCTGATGGAGTATACACTAACCTGCGCAATATACAGACACTAGATGGAGACAAACAGTCAAAAACACAACAGAAACTAAAACAGCTGATGGAGTATACACTAACCTGCGCAATATACAGACACTAGATGGAGACAGTCTAAAACAGCTGATGGAGTATACACTAACCTGCACATTATTCAGACACTAGATGGAGACAAACAGCCAAAAACACAACAGAAACTAAAACAGCTAATGAAGTATACACTAACCTGCGCATTATTCAGACACTAGATGGAGACAAACAGTCAAAAACACAACAGAAACTAAAACAGCTAATGGAGTATACACTAACCTGCACATTATTCAGACACTAGATGGAGACAAACAGTCAAAAACACAAAACACAACAGAAACTAAAACAGCTGATGGAGTATACACTAACCTGCTCATTGTTCAGACACTAGATGGAGACAAACAGTCTAAAGCAGCTGATGGAGTATACACCAACCTGCACATTATTCAGACACTAGATGGAGACAAACAGTCAAAAACACAAAGCTGACAGAAACTAAAGCAGCTGATGGAGTATACACTAACCTGTGCATTATTCAGACACTAGATGGAGACAAACAGTCAAAAACAACAGAAACTAAAACAGCTGATGGAGTATACACTAACCTGCACATTATTCAGACACTAGATGGAGACAAACAGCCAAAAACACAACAGAAACTAAAACAGCTGATGGAGTATACACTAACCTGCGCAATATACAGACACAAGATGGAGACAAACAGTCAAAAACAACAGAAACTAAAACAGCTGATGGAGTATACACTAACCTGCACATTATTCAGACACTAGATGGAGACAGTCAAAAACACAACAGAAACTAAAACAGCTGATGGAGTATACACTAACCTGCGCATTATTCAGACACTAAATGGAGACAAACAGACAAAAACACAAAGCTGACAGAAACTAAAGCAGCTGATGGAGTATACACTAACCTGCACAATATTCAGACACTAGATGCCATCAATTTTACCACCCTGGATTGTCTTGGTAGAAAACACTTGTATCTGCAACCATTCATTATACCCTTAAACAGTGCACTACTTGAGAGAGCAGCCAGTGCCAGTGGTATCCATTACAATAGTGGGCATTCTGAAGTGCACTCAGTCAATCAATGGCTAGAAAATACCCATAATGCACTGTGAGAGATTGTGCACCAAATGAATTTCTGCAGCTGACCACAAGAGGGCGTCCACAGTGGAATCCTATCAGTGTAAGTTTCTAAACAAAATATTTTTAATTTTTAATTATTGATAATTCCACCTTATCATTGGGATCCAGTGGTGGATTTAGGCATGGGCAATATTGACAATCGCCCAGGGGGCGACACACAGAGACGGTGCAAAAAAAAAAAAAAAAAGAAACATCCCAAAGTTAAAGCATTGGAATACGATTTACTTTAAGCAAGTGTATTAACTTAGAGTCGCAATCCTAGAATAAAGATGTTAGAGGCCGTTCACAGTTGGCATCTTTTGCACGCCTTCTTTATGTGCAACTGAAATAATGCTGGTGAAAGCAAACTGGCGCATGCGTGCAGAAAAGCATTCCCGCGCACCTCATGCTCTCCCGGTTGTTTACACGCACGCCGATATAATACACGCCACTCATGCGGCGTGAAACCAGAGTATCAGCCTTTTGTGCAGAGGAGTCGGCACGCAGTGAGTTTTGCAAGTCGACAAAACTAAAGTTTATATCATATGATGATGATCATGATGTTATTTTCACTAAGCTTGAAAGCAGGAAGGAGGGATAAAGAGTCAGGGGGGTAAGACTTCATAACATTAATTCTTGGCCATGAGTCAGGTCTAAGACCACAGATAATTCTATAAAACATATATTTTTTTTATAATATTCATGCAAAAGATTTCTTAAGTGATCTTAGCATATGACTTCAGTTGTTGAATTGTTTTCCAGTAACATTTAGTATTGATTTCTGCTATTTATTTAGAATAATACTTGTATAATAATAATAATTGTATTTATTTAGAATAAATAAATAAATAAATTGTTATATTTATTATAAATAAATCTGATAATTTAAGGGGGGTGGAGGTATGGGGTAGGGTGGTTCGCCCAGGGTTTCATTTAAACTAGAACCACCACTGTTGGGATCATTCTGTTCCGGCTGAAGAACAACAAAAACAATGACAGCCAATCAGAATCCATCCCGTTTAGAAGGACTTAACAAGACCTTTAACAAAATAATAAACTGAACCGCATTGTGGATTAGTATGGATGCTAATAATAGTCATCATTCTTGTGAAGGAGCCTTTAATATAATGACGTTGATGTGTGCCATGTGACATATTCTGTTATGCTAAAAACCAATTAAGAGGTCAGAAAGTAGATGGAACTAAAAACAAAAGTTTCATGTCTTGATATTTACATCAATTAATAAAGAGAACCAGCGTAAGTTACCTATTAATATATGTCAGGGTTTTTCCTGGATAGAGAGTTACAAGGCGGCCACCTCCATCAAATCTGGACAGAAATCTGGCAGGCGGTCATAGCTACCTACAGTCCCCAAGTGATGCTCAGGCACTGATGATGCATTTAATTACATTTAATATGAGCTTTTTTTTTAAAATAAGATAATGCTTCACTTTAAGATTACAAGAATAAAGCAAAATCTGTTCATTTCAAGTAGCAAGACGTTTGTCCATCCAACCATCCTCCCTTATTTTAAGCCATGAAAAAGCCTGTATATTTATATAAATCAATTCATGTTTATTTCTATAGCACTTTTACAATGTAGATTGTGTCAAAGCAGCTTGACATAGCCATTCGTAAACATTGAAACTATGTCAGTTCATATAATGAATAACTAAATTCCCAATCCCAAACACAGTCCACCTGAAAACTGAAGCAAAACAAACATGATTCACTCATGGTTTCCCATCACATCAGTTCAGGCTTCAGCAGTGGTGTAATCCCATGCTTAATTCACTGTGATGTGGTTGTTGTTGCAGGATCTCATTTTAACAGGCATCAGCACAGTCATGCTACCTCTTGCCGGCATTTCCACGTAGGCCCGCAGGCCCAGATCCCTGTTGATTTCCCAATGCCCCATCCAGGACAATCTCAGACGGGAATGAGCCATCACCTGGGCCCCGCGCACCAGCCCACCGCGGCGCTACACCCCTCCCTCAACCACATACCAGCGCCACCCTTTCAGGACATCCCGGCCCCACCCTTCCTACCTCAGGCTTTACACCAGCAATACCTCATCCAGCAGCAGATCCTGGAGGCGCAGCACCGGCGGATACTTCCACAGCCCAGGTACAGCTGCTTTTACACTGTTACTGTTTGGCCATGGACACATACAGTTGAAGTCAGAATTATTATCACCCTGAACATTTAGACCCCCTGTTTACTTTTTCCCCCAATTTCTGTTTAACAGAGAGATTTTTCAACACATTTCTAATCATAATAGTTTTAATAAATCATTACTAATTAATAACATTTTATATTTGCCATGATTACAGTACACAATATTACACTAGATATTCTTCAAGACACTTTTATACAGCTTAAAGTGACATTTAAAGGCTTCACTAGGGTAATTAGGGTAACTAGGTAGGTTATGGTAATTAGGCAAGTTACTGTATAATGATGGTTTGTTCTGTAGACTATCCAAAAAAATTAGCTTAAAGGGACTAATAATATTGACCTTAAAATGGTGTTTAAAAAATTAAAAACTGCTTTTATTCTAGCCGAAATAAAACAAATAAGACTTTCTCCAGAAGAACAAATATTATCAGACATACTGTGAAAATGTCCTTGCTCTGTCAAACATCATTTGGGAAATATTCAAAAAAGAAAAAAAATTGAAAGGCAGGCTAATAATTCTGACTTGAAATGTACATACTTTATTTTTAAAAACTTGGTTTCATTTTAGGCTTTAAGATGGGGAAGAGAATCCCACTGAGTGTTTTTGAGCAACGGTAAAGTATTTGATTGTGATTCTCCCCAGCAGACATGCTCCAGACAGAACCCTTCCCCATCCACAGACGCTGCGGCCGCCGTATGAATATCCTCCATCCATTCACATTCCCCCACCGGTACCACAGCAGCCACGCTACCTTGCAGAAGGAACAGACTGGTACGTGTGTATTCAACTGTGGCTAACACTGTGTCCTGAATACACACGACACGACACTGTGATGCAATAAAAGCTCAATATTTCATATTGAAAGGAGTATTGTCCTAACCCACACGCAAAATTTCAATAGACTTTCTATTCCTGCAAAGTCACAGCAGAACTACAGCATAAACTTCACTTAATCACCTCGGTACTGATTATGTGCTTTATTCAGTGTCAAATGCTTCTAATGTGAGATTAGGGGATTAAATTTCGAGAGAAGCATGTGATATGATATGAGCACGACTGGCTTCTCATCTGTATTCAGTAATAATCCAATCAGAGTGATCCAAACTTACAATAAATGTACTGTTTTTCCCTACTGCTCTATCTTTGCTGGAAGAATCCCCCCTTCCACCCTATCTCCTCCTGTTCCTCCCTTTTCTAAGGCCAGCTTTTGAGACCTACCTGATCTCAGATCCCTTTATATGCTTATTTACCAGGCGGGAGCCTTGGGCTCAAGTATCTCTGATCTCAGAGTTCTCTCCCGGGACAGCATGCCAAACCTGCTATTAACGCCAAGCAAATCTAAGTTGGAACTCTTGAAATACCATTTCAGGAGTTCACACTTAGCTGATGATTGGTAGTAAAGTGTATTAGGCATGCTGTCCCGGGAGAGAGCCCTGAGCTCAGAATATCCTTGAGCCCGGGGGTCCCTCCCGGGAGGAGAGTCTGAGGCCCCGTTTACACTAGTGCGTTTTAGTTTTAAAACGGCGTTTCAGATAAAAAATTATCCGCGTCCAAACTAGCTTTTCACCTAGCGTTTCTGAACGTATCTCCGTCCACACTATGCCACCAAAAACGTATATCAAGTGACCATTCACGCACTCTGGGCATGTGTAACCCCGCCGGCGACCTTCCGCATGGGATTCGGTTGCTCTAACAAGGAGGCTAAAGATCATGACCTCTAGAGTCTGTCGCTAGAGCACCTTTAGAGCTCAGAGGAGTGAGGTTTACCTGCACAGCACCTAATAGCTGGCCTCCGTTACACATGCGCGTTCGAGTATAAACAGGAAGCATGTGTCTCGCTCGGTATTTGGTTATTGTAAGTCAACAAACGGCGGTTGAACAATGAACGCGATGGCAAAGAAAGCAAGAGAGGTATTTTTGTGGACAGACGACGAGGTCGAGTTGTTACTAAACGTAACAAATGAATAACTGCACAATGGCACCTAAAACAGACAATAGTGCAAACAACGCTCCCATTTTTGTGCCCATGTTGTTGTTTACAGTGAAGGCTGCTCTGCTGTCATCCGGTAGCGTTAAAGCCATGTGTTATAGTCATGTGATAGAGGCTTGACGAATAAGAGAAGGATACGTAATGACACAAAAGCCCCAATGAGGTAGCGAATCTCAGCAGCCCCGCCTCCGTATTCAGATGTCTCAGTTTTCCCTCATTAACACTGAGACGGAGCAGCAACATTTCAGAATGAAAACGGCCTCTCCAGTGTTTCCAAAACTCTCCATTTTCGGCGCTCGAAAACTCAGGTGTAGTGTGGACGGATTGCTTAACCGTAGCAAACCTTATGCATTTTCAAACTAAAGCGCATTAGTGTAATGCGGCGTAAGCCAGGCCAAGATTGGCTAATCTGGAGGACCGGGAGAGGTCTGTTTTTTTGACCGCGAGGGCCGGTGTCCCTTGCTACTTGCACTCTCAGCAGTTGCACTTTTCTTCATTTATTTATTTATTTATTTGACCGTAGCCTCACTCTTATTATTCATTATTTTGCCGCAGCTCTATTAATTTTTTATCCCAACCGCACCCCTGTAACAGCGCCATTGTGGTCCAGCGGTCAGCACGTTGCGTTCCGATGCCGCCGACCCGTGTTCGAACCTTTTATTTTTTCATTTTTATTGTTAAGACATATAATCCTGTTAGGGTTGTTGAAGACTTAAAGTTCTAAAGCAGCTGTTTTCTTGAAAAAGACGTGATAGTGTCTATAGAATCTGAATTGGAAATGACCTTATTTTTACATAGACAGTCGTGAACTGAGGTGGGCCGGTGTAAGGCTTAAACTCAACCCTGTGCAGAGACCTTCCTAGGGGCATGTGCAGCATAGATATGTACACTGGATGTCGCCTGGCCTATTGTTGTCTATTGTACGGAATGCGTCAATAGCACCACCATCTTGCTACAGGGTAGCGCTCCTTTGAAATGAATGCGGGACCAAGGTACAGTGGAGGACTGTGGCCATCCAAAGCCAGAGATATACACATATTCACATATATCTATGATCGGGAGTTTTCCTGGATGTTAGTGTGTAATGTTTTTTTCTAATTACGAAAATTATAATTTTACATCACTTTTCTACATTGATGGATCAGTGACCGCACGGGCATTCCTGACACACAGCTTGTGTTTGTGTGTACAGAAATGTACTATTCACCCTCCCTGTTAAATTTGATCTAATCATGTCCTGAAACACAGCTCCTCTCCTGCTTTCCTTGCTCATACTGACGGAGGGAGCGATTCGTTTGTGAATGAATCTCTGTTATGAACGACTCTTTCACTAACGTTAGCCGACAATAACACAAGTTTCTGCCAGCGCAGCATCTCGTTGTCATGTTTCTTTTGCATTGTTTGCTGATTTTATTCAACAAAACTAGCATAAGCCGAGTGTTTAGTGCGAGTTGGAGCTGCTTTGCCGTATGGTGAATGCAGTGTGTCTGTTATCATCAATAACGTTACCTGATTAGCACTAAAGTTCAGAACATACAAAAACAGAAAAAACTGAATATTACCTATGAAATGTTCTGCCTTTGTGCTTTGTTTTCTCTGTTTGCTCGTTACTACACCCGTAGACAGCACTAAAGTCCCGCATCTTCATGTAATAACACTGTCTTGACTAGTGCAGTTGAATGACATTTGTCCTGGGAGCACTGTACCAATGTGGCGGCGCTATTGACGCATGCTCAGGGTCCCTATGCGATATCTAGTGTATATATCTATGGATGTGCAGGATAAAAATTTTTGGAATGGGGGGGTGGTGTCAAGCAAGAACTAAAGATCGGGGGGGGGGGGGGGGGGGGGGGGGCATGTGCACTGCACAGGTTGAGCCCTATGTGTGCACGTGCCTGCTTAAACTCCAGGGCTGAAAAGGAGTCCCACTCCGGCGCTGGTCTGAGCCAATAGGTCTCGAGAACTCCCCTGCTTGTGAGCGTGCTGGGATATATCTGACTAAGAGTTGCCTTAAGATGCTATTTTGAAGTAGTCAATTTACTTATGGTGTATGTCTTTGGATGGTGGGAGGAAACTGGGAAACCCGGGTAAAACCCATGCGAGCACGGGAAGAACATGCAAACTCTGCAAAGAAAAGCTGCAGCATTCTTGCTGTGAGGCAACAATGCTAATCACTGGGCCGCCGTGCCGCCCTATCAGAGAAGAGGAGGAGTAGGGGTGGAAGGCAGGATTCTTCAAGATGAAGATGAGTAGAGCAGAAAGCTCTGGTAATTTACAGTGTGTGAGTATTGCGTCATCTGATTGGCGCAATATACGGAGCTGATGCGGTACCAGCTGTGTTCAATCATAAGCACGTGATCCTCCCAAAATTAGTTTATAAATAAACCACACTTTATGTCACATATTTAGCAAGCATTCATTCATTTTCTTGTCGGCTTAGTCCCTTTATTAATCCAGTGCCGCCACAGCGGAATGAACCGCCAACTTATCCAGCAAGTTTTTACGCAGCGGATGCCCTTCCAGCCGCAACCCATCTCTGGGAAACATCCTCATACATTCACACACTACGGACAATACCCACTAGAACGCAGGGAGATCATGCAAACTCCACACAGAAAGGCCCACTGAGCCGAGGTTCGAACCAGCGACCCAGCGACCTTCTTGCTGTGAGGCGACAGCACTACCTACTGCGCCATTTAGCAAGCATATAGTTTCAAAATAAATGTTAGAACTGTGACTCAATGTGACTTAATGATGTCACAGAGATTTAATATGTGCTAATTATAGGACTGCAACAACTAAATGATCATTTTTCATGCTGGAATTCTTTGTCAACAAAGGCCGTTATTGATTAGTTAGGCTAACACACAAGATACACAGCTGTTTTTGCAATGAAGGGTACAGAACCGGTATTGTGTCAAATTCAGTTAATATAACACTACAACACTTGTTTTCCTTTTCGTTGATTTATATTTTGAATATATAGAGAAGTTTTACTGCCACAGTATGAATGGAAGCCTATGGGATGAAAAGTGATCACAGCTTTAGACCCATTGACTGATGGTCTGTGTTTTTCCTCCTTCAGGGATCTGAGTGTGGATCCAGGCCTGCCGCAGTATCACATCTCTCCTCTCACTCAACACTATCAGCATTACCTGACCTCTCCACGGCTGCATCACTTCCCCAGAAACACCACCTCCGCACAAGTGGTCAGTCTGTGTCTTTAATCTGACAGTATTTATCTTTGAATTTAGGAATATGACAGATGTTTTCATCCATAGTGACCTAAAGTGATGGAAGTTTTTTCTTAACAAAATTAAAATGAAAACTCAAATACCTGAGAAAATTAACTATTCGATGACCTGCAGTTGCCACAGTAGCTTGTTTAGTTTTGCAACAGCCGCGCTGTTGACCTCAGCATCTGTAAGGGCCAATATTTCCCCTAAGCTCTCAAGAAGCTTTTCCATTGTTGACATTTTCACTAACCCTGCCCCTGTCTTGCTTATAATTCATTATAATTTATGCAGATGCACTGCATAGAAGAAGACTTGATCATCTCATCTAATGTCGCTAGTTAACAAACTCAATGCATTTTGTTTCAACACATCCCATAATATCTAAAATATCCCGTCTTTCGGATGAGACGTTAAACCGAGGTCCCGACTCTCTGTGGTCATTAAAAACCCCAGGATGTCCTTTGATAAAGAGTAGGGGCTTAACCCTGGCATCCCGGCCAAATCTGCCCACTGGCCTCTGTCCATCGTGGCCTCCTAACCCTCCCCATATCATAACTGGCTTCATCACTCTGTCTCCTCTCCACCAATCAGCTGGTGTGTGGTGTGCGGTCTGGTGCAAAATGACTGCCTTCGCATGATCCAGGTGGATGCTGCACACTGGTGGTGGATGAGGAGATTCCCCCCTATGTGTAAAGTGCTTTGAGTGCCCAGAAAAGCGCTATATAAATGTAAGGAATTATTATTATTATTATTAATATTATCATATCAGCCTCGGTTTATGGTAAAAGCACTGGGCTTAATACATACACTATGAAAAAGCTACAAATTTAAAGTGTAAGACTAATTTATTTTAAAAAATATTCAAAATAAAAAAAATTTGAATATGAAATCACCTTTAAAAAAAAAATGCCATAAAATATTTTGGATTCTCATTTAACATGCTTTCTTGTTTTTTTATTTTACAATAAAACCAAAAGCAAGTGTATGTTGTTAGATTTATTTTTGTAAACCAACAATGCTGTCCATTATTTAAAACAGTCATACTTTAAATGACTTTAACTGTCCTTATTTAAAACAGTAAAAACATGGTCAGCCGTTTGGTTGAGGAGCAGTCAAAGGGTTAGAATATTATCTCCAAATAGAGCAATTCAATTAATTTGGTGAAATCATTTTCATATGGCAATATGTGTTGCCTTTCCCAGACATGGGTTGCAGCTGGAAGGGCATCCGCTGCGTAAAACATATGATGGATAAATTGGCGACCCCTGATTAATAAAGGGACTAAGCCTAAAAGAAAATGAGTGAATGAATATGTGTAAATTTTGCAATGTCAGATCTCTCCACTATCGCCGAGCTCTAGTTCTAAGTATCATTAAATTTGAAGGATTTGTTGTATTTTACATAGTTAAGCAACTCCAACTGGAAAACAGAGAATTTCCCACTCACACTGCTGTTGTTGTTGTGCACAGGTGGTCCATGAGATCAGAAATTATCCATATCCTCAGTTACACCTGCTGGCTCTTCAAAGCCTCAGTCCATCTCGGCACGCGACGGCAGTGCGGGAGAGTTACGAGGTGCGGATCATCATCATCATCATCGCTTCAGTTAAAGTACAGCTAATTCTGCAGCATCTCTCACACGTGTTTCTGTCTGCTTCTGAATCCAGGAGCTCCTGCAGTTGGAGGACAGACTGGGAAATGTGAACAGAGGCGCCGTGCAGGCCACCATCGAGAGGTTTACCTTTCCTCACAAGTATAAAAAGGTAAAAACTGTGTAAAGGAGACCTAATATGCAAATATCACATTCATTAGGGGTTTAAACACAGCGGCAGCATTGAGTGAATATCTCCAGCAGCCTCTAATGGTCAACATGAATTAACTGTGTTTGTTCTAATCAGACTTGATGAATGAAACACTTTGATTGACATTCTCCCTTTGTACGTGTCATCAGAGAGGTAAAGCCCCGCCCACTACTCTCTCTGCATAAACAGCAGCCCTGAGTGAGAAGCAGCCGTCTGTCCATTAGCCATTAGAGTGTTTGAGCTGCTGAAGATGATGTCAGCATAGACTAAGAGGATTATAGATGTGGAGTTTTAGATGAACAGCGACAGGAGCGACATAGACTGACAGAAGCATCAAGCACACACTCACACTGAAGCACACATGCACACCTGACCAGCACTCACACACACACACTGCTGTTGTACATCTGCCATCATGCTGACACATTGGCATTTGTAGCTCCACCCTCTTCTAAAAAGAGCTCAATCTCATTTGAATTTAAAGCGACAGTCAGCAAAACGCCACAATTAGGATCAAAGCCTGAAAGGGTCAGTTTCAGAGAGTTAGAGAGCATTATTTGCATGCTTTTTCAGCTCAAACTTCACTAAACACTCATCAGAAACTTATTTTACATCTTGTAAAAGGGGAAATAATAGGTCCATGTGAACCAGAAGTTGCTTTGACTTTCATTTCAGTATGTTAATATGCTTTTAACTCAAATGGAATATTAAGTAGGGGGCGGGGCTTTCACTTTGTGCATTATTACCTTGTAGTAACAGTAAGAGGGGCGTGGCTAAGAATACTGTGGCTAAACTGACATCATCAGAGAAGGAGCCAATCCAAACACCAAGTCAGCGCTGTGCATTATGGGATATGGAGGAAAAATATTTGTTGTCAGCGCTTTAACAACAGAGAGAGAAAGAGAGAGGGAAAAACATTAGCTGATGGATGATATTTCCAATAGATGACCATGTCGCAGCTTAGCTAAATTAATTCACGCCTCCTCCTGAAGTGAGATGCGATGCATTAAAACATTGTTTTCCAGTCGCGGCTGCGCTTCATTCTCGAAATGTATAGTTTTCTAAAGCAGGGCACAGTCGTAGCTCCATAGTAAAAAGCAACATGTTGTGTCTGCCGGTTTGTTTACCTGCGGGGCTTCATTGGCATTTTCCTGCATGTGAATTATGACCAATCGATAAGCAGTTTAAGAATTATATTCAACAACATCTAACCAATAAGAGATGGGTTTTGTCAGATTAGTGCAATTTGGTTCTTTTCAATTGATTCGGACCAAAGCCAGCAGTGTGGTGTGGAAACGACCCAAAGACGGCAGAAAATGCATCACTGTACCATTTTTGCCTTTTGTCCGGACCAAATGAAGCGAACTACAGATGTGAAAGCACCATAAGTCACACTATTTGGAGGGTCGGAACCAAGTGTGCCGCAAGCCTGCGTTTGAGTGAAGGTCTCGGCCATTAGATCGCCCCCTGGGGGCTGGCTGCAGTACAAGTCATAAAGCCCGCCTCCTCCGTGTTAATAAAGGAGACTTGAGCCCAAATAAAAAAATGTATTACACTTGCAATAAAATGTCCCGAAAGATGGTTCTGGTGGATTAAGGCACTGGTTATTGTGCTGAAATAGGTGCAGATCTTCATTTTTGTAAACAGTTTGTTTTTAGCAGTAATTTAATGCTGGGCGTGTCATCGTGATTGACAGCTGTGATTGACAGATTCTCAAAGCAGCGCGTCTGAGCTTCAGCAGGAGACTGAAGTGTTATTATTCGATTTCTGTGTTATTTTACCATGACAAAATGAGTTCAGCAGTAAACTACAGTTTCTGACATACATGATCCTGGTGGAACACTGTTTATTCGCTAAGGTCAGGGCTTTTTTCTGGCTTTATTAGTTTGCTGATACACGCCTAGCCACCCAGATAGCAAAATACACTCGGGCCAGTTCCAGCTAGATTCTCGCCTGCCGGAGATTTACCCCTCAGAGCTCAGACTGACTACCTCTGCTGGACCTACTCCGGATGCCTGGACTCACTGCCCGATTCCAGCCCAAGTCAATCGAGCCAGATGCGGCGCTGCCGCATGCGAGCCGGAATTAGCCCGCGACGCCGCGAGTAGGTTATGCGCTGCGGCCCGGAGCTGGCGAGATTGAATATATAAAACCCTCATATTTGTTAACGTTATTACATCCATTTGTGTTGATATGACAGCAAACGCATGCTGAGAAGTTCGGGGGGCGTGGTTGATTTTACATAAAGCGTTTGGTTGGAAGCTCGACTCCGCTCATTTTCGCGGCTCCTCCTCTGGCTCCATCAGACAGTCCTTCTGCGCATGTCAAGGCTCCAATTTCAGCAGTCTTTTGCGACAGTTTGTGCTCGTCAAGCAGGCGTTTTGCCCTCAAGGCGTTCAATGGGAAAAGGGGCTGTCGCGTCGTCCATATTTTTTACAGTCATTGGTCGGAACAAATTGCCAATGGAATAGCCCTGGTGTAACGAAGGGTCTGACACAGAGGGATCCATGTGCAGTATATTTATTAAACACAGTTTAATAAAGAGCACACAGATGGTACTAGTGTGTGAACTCCCATCAATCACAGTTGTAATAGGTCGATAGGATGGCGGCAGGCAAACACAGGGTGATGTAGCAGGCATGGGTCAGAGGCAGACAGCTAGGATCAAGTTCGGTATTCAGGCTGGGTTCAAGACAGGCGGCAGGCAAGGCAAGGACGATAGACAGTCTGGGTTAGCAACGGGGAAAGCAGGCAAGGAGTAGAACCACTCAGTAATGTTAGCAGAGGCAGAACAAGATTTCCAACTGGAGTGTGTGTTAGAGCTGCTTATATGTGTGTGTGGGTAATCAGTGGGATGTGAAGCAGGTGTGTGGCAATCAGTGTCTGAGGGAATGACGTAATGTCAGTAAACCGGTTATGATGACCTCTGCTGGCCAGCGAGGGGAATGACTGGGACTGAGTCGGTGACACCTGGGCTAAGGGGTAGAATTGGGATTGGACTTTACTTGCTCACTTACTCCCAGGGCTGTTCATATCAAAGTTGATGTTTAGCTATTTAAACTCCAGCATGCACATCAGTAAAGTGATGTGATTTAGTTTGAACAGATGACGTGATGATAAAAAAATATATGTGATGGGACGCATTAATATGTCAGACTTTAATATTTAATCATTGCTACGGTTACTAAAGTAAGCCTAGTTCCCCGAGGGGGGGAACGGAAATGCTATGTGGAAAACCTTCCACTTATGGGTTTTTGTCAGAAATTAATCATCTGAATGTGAAAAAGGGTTTCCCCATAAGTGGAAGGTTTTCCACATAGCATTGAAGTTTCCCCATCCGAAGGGGAACTGGTGTTCTCTTGGTTTTGAAAATAAGCATGTGCTAAAAGACTGATCATGTGATCCACAGAGAAGACCTCTGGAGCTGAAGATCGGCATGGATGAAGAGGAGCTGGACACGGATGAAAAATGCACAATATGTCTCTCAATGCTTGAAGATGAAGAGGACGTCAGGTAGTTTTACAATCCACTTTGAACCAGTTCAAATCTATAGGCCTGTTCACACAGCACGCTAACTATAATTATAACGCTAAATATACTTTTCCACGCTGACAAATAATAAACATAATGAAAAGGTAGTACATTTAAGTGTGTTGTTGAGTTTTTCCAAAAAAAAAAAAAAACCAATGCATTTTCTAGAAATATGTAAATCATCCCATTTGCTGAAACACAGAGAAAGCTGTGGCCAAATTAACACTCGAAATCAGCCCAGAGTGGATGAAAACGGGGAAAAAAGGGTTAAAGTTGCTTCCACATTTGGTTATGTCGCCTGTTTCACAAATAACCAGAACTCAACCACTGTTGTTGTTTCTCTGTTCACAGGAGATTACCCTGCATGCACCTCTTCCATCAGGCTTGCGTTGACCAATGGCTGGCGACCAACAAGAAGTGTCCCATCTGCAGGGTAGACATTGAGACGCAGCTGTCGCCCGATAGCTGATGTCTGGTGTAGCACTAGCTGAAGTCGTCTTTCTTCGCCCCCTCTTGAGGGCACTTTGCCAAATGTGTGTCATCTCCATCACCTCTCACCTCTGACCTTTGCCTTCTGAGCCAACAGACGATGTAGAACAGCGAAGACGAGAAGCACTGAGGACGGTCTCTGAACGTGTATCTCGAATAAACGTTCTCCGAATGTTCGACATATTACACGTGGTTGGTTGTGCACTGCAAAATAATGCTCATTTAGAGTTCTTGTCCTGCTTCTAGTCCAAATATTTGAGGATTCCTAAATCAGTGAGCATAACAAATTCACTTTCTGTAGCGCTTTCTGAGCAATGTGGAATGTGTCAAAGCAGTCTAGTAATCTATCTAGGTATCTAGTAAATGCTTCAGTCCAGTTTTACGAGAAAGTTTTTTAGAAACAATACTTCAAAATTAATTAATTCATTCATTTTTATTCATTTATTTTCGACCTCTTTTCCGGGGCCGGGTCGCGGGGGCAGCAGTCTTAGGAGAGAACCTCAGACTTCCCTCTCCCCAGACACTTCCTCCAGCTCCTCCGGGGGGATCCTGAGGCGTTCCTAGGCCAGCCGAGAGACATAGTCCCTCCAGCGTGTCCTGGGTCTTCCCCGAGGCTTCCTTCTGGTGGGACATGTCTGGAACACCTCCCTAGGTAGGCGTCCAGGAGGCATCCGAAACAGATGCTCGAGCCACCTCAGCTGACTTCTCTGGATGTGGAGGAGCAGCGGCTCTACTCCGAGCTCCTCCCGGGTGTCAGAGCTCTTCACCCTGTCTATAAGAGTTCGCCCTGCCACCCTGCAGAGGAAACTTATTCTGGCCGCTTGTATCCGAGATCTTGTCCTTTCAGTCATGGCCCAAAGCTCATGACTGTAGGTGAGAGTAGGAACGTAGATTGACCAGTAAACCAAGAGCTTTGCCTTTTGGTTCAGCTCCTTCTTTACCACAATGGACCTGTACATAGGCCGCATTACTGCAGCCGCTGCACCAATCTGCCTGTCAATCTCACGCTCCATCCTTCCCTCACTCGTGAACAAAATCCCAAGATACCTGAACACTTCCACCTGGGGTAAGGACTTTCCTCCAATCTGGAGATGGCAACACACCTTTTTCCGGTGGAGCACCCTGGCCTCGGACTTGGAGGTGCTGATTCTCATCCTAGCCACATCACACTCAGCAAACTGCCCCGGTGCATGCTGATGGTCTATGTTTGATGAAGCCAACAGAACAACATTGAACAGAATTAATGACAAAGAGCAGCCCTGCCGGAATCCAACATGCACCGGAAACAAGTCTGAATTATTGCCGGCAATGTGAACCAGCCGCCGACTCTGTTCATACAGGGGACGAGACAGCCCTTAAAGAGCCTCTGACCCCACACTCCCAGAGCACCCTCCACAGAATGCCACAAAGGGACACAGTTGAATACCTTCCCCAAGTCCACAAAACACATGTGGACTGGTTGGGCATTCTCCAATGAATCCTCGAGCACCCTTAAGAGGGTATAGAGCTGATTCAGTGTACCACGGCCTGGATCAGGGGTCACCAATCCTGGTCCTGGAGGGCCGGTGTCCCTGCAGGGTTTAGCTCCATCTTGCCTCAACACACCTGCCTGCATGTTTCAAGTATACCTATTAAGACCTTGATCAGCTTGTTCAGGTGTGTTTGATTAGGGTTGGAGCTAAAATCTGCAGGACACCGGCCCTCCAGGAACAAGTTTGGTGACCACTGGCCTGGATGAAAACCTCATTGTTCCTCCTGAATCCTAGGTACAACCGTTGGCCGGATCCTCCTCTCCAGTACCCTCAAAATGTATAGTTTTCTAAATTAAAGATAAACAATCTTCCCGTGTGATGAGTAAAACAAACATTACAAATTGAAAACATTAGTTTATTTTCTTACCCTACAGGTATATTATGTTGTTTGAAGGAAAAACCCATTTTCGATCATTATTTCTAAAACAAAATGTTATTTTATGTATGCAGAAAATGCTTGCAGATTTCACAATTTCAGATATTTGGACTAGAAACAAGTAAGAAAGGCATTTACTTTGCAAATAAACAGTTAAGTTTGTGAAGTTGCTGGTGAACGAGAGAAGTAGAGTGATGACCCTGTGTTTAAAAAACGTAAAAAGCTGTCGTCGTCGTCGTGTCTGTAACTTTTGGAGGTGATGCTTGACGTCCGTATGTAACCGTGAGGACAGGCTTGATATGAACTGTGAGTCCGCATTTTGTCCAACGCTTGGAAACGAATCCACCAAATGCATGTTGAGAGGCTGTGGGGTAAATCTGCCGAGGGGTCGACGTGCATGAGGACGTTTCTTACGCGATATACACTGTGTTCTCGATGCGTCACCACGAGTGAAACATGTACCTTAATGCCTGTAGCACAAGCACACGTCGAATAGTATCGGCATAACTCCGTGTTTCCATTCGCTCCGTGACTCGTGGTCTCGCTTGGTCGTACAATAGAGTCATAATGTGCATGAAACCTGTTTGCTGCCATTTCTAGAGGACATGACAAGGGAGTAAAGCCATTTGTTTTATAGTAAACCAAACATAACTTTTCTAAGCTGTTCTTCACGATCGCTCGTTCTTGTTCTGTTTCATCGGTTTGTTTTTTCCTAGGGTTGCCAACCTGTGCGCGGGGCTGGTACCTCCGGCTTCTCGACATACGTAGCTGGGAAAAAATCGTAAACAAGATATTTATTGTTGTCTTAACGTAGCTAGGTGGTTATTTTCGTAATGCACTCACTCTCTGATGAGGTCGTGTGTGATTGTTTTTTTCTCTTTCCCTGCTTTTGCACTCAGTTTCCTTGCGTATCGTGCACTTCATCCAAAAGAGAGAGGAAAAAAAATGTACAAGGGAACGCACATTTCTTTTTTGTTCGTTTTTGCGTAACGATAGCTCACTGACCACTTTTAATGTACGTGACTGTTTTCTGTAGCATTTCCGATGTTTAATGAAATATCGATGAATCGAATTGTTTCGCTTGCGCAACTTTCACACAATTCAAGCGTTCAGCTGCTTGGAGCGGAAGCCAGGAAGTTGGAAGCGCGTTTGTTTTCGTGTTCGAATCTTTTCTCATCGTCTGTCTGCGTTTTATAGTTTACACATGATATCGTGCGTCGAAATGCCTTAAGTATTTAACAATCATAATTTATGACTAACTTTACCTACTATGGGTGCGTATTTAAGTTCCGAACTAGTATCGCAATGTAACCAAGTCGGTTTATTTATTTACGTCAGCATAATAATAACGTGTGTATAAATACCTCATGTGCTATACTTTAATGGGAGTGCTTTGCATGCGGTTGTACGTAAAAAGGGGCGTAAGTGTCAAAACAAGCTTAAAAAAAGAAATTTAAACGCCCATGAGGGCGTGCTGAAACGTGCTAGTATGTGGTGCTGTAGTTTTTGGTTACATTCCATTAATGCAATTCTCAAAAAGAGTCGTTCAGCTGTGCGCTCAAACTGTTCAATGGACTGGAATTGTTCGTTTTTTTGCATGTCTCTCCTGTTTTTTGCACTCTCGGCTTTGCTGCCCTCTCACTGGCATCCGGCGAACAGCGTCTGCGATCCGTGAATCTGTTTTCTCAGTGTTTTCAGTAGTGAGGAGTGAGTTCAGCGCTTACTGTGATTGATTATAGCTGCTTGTCTTGTGCCCATCTGGCTTTAACTTTTGATTACGGCCGGCCATTGTACGCTGTATTTCTTGAAGTGATGCTCATTTTAGTTTTCTTTAATCCCCACTCTGTTAGTAGCACATTTGCGTTCTTTCTTTTCGTATCGGTACTTGGTAACACGAGGGGCTTTAAATGTCTGAATGCGTTAATGCAGGTTGTGATGTGGTACATTCTAGTGTAGCTGCCGTATGTTTGTCAAATTTCAGGTTATTTAGCTTCGACCCCCTTATTATAATAATAGTAATCAACCGATACACTTTGTTTTTTAAACAAGATACGGCAGATAACTGTTTTTTCCAGAGAAATAATTGCTTTTATCTGCCATACGAATCAATCTGGAGAAGCTCATTGTTTTATATATACGCCTGTACTTAACATATACGCCGATATAGGAAAAAAAAAAAAGAAGAAACGATGGCTTTATCTTTTATGATTTGTGTTTCTAGCCTGTGTAGCCTTAAAGTCTCTTGATTTGATCCATCTCTCCAGCAGATTTTGGACATAAGCAATAGTAGAATCATGTTTCGCTAACAGACTGAACCGTAGAAATCCTAAAGCACAAGCTCTGTAATGCATGTCTTTCTCAGGTTTTAATATGCGTATGAGAATGGATACATATGTTAAAATATTTTACCATAAATATTTCTGATGTTTTTCTGCTGCTGACATAAAACAAAATAAATAAAAATAAAAAAAATAGTTGAATAACCTGCCAGTGAAAGGGAAGTGGCTCTTTGTATAAGACACTGCTGTGTGCTGTTACTGCGCAATGTTTTCTGACATGAATATTTTATAGCTCAAGTAGAAAAATATGTATTGACAATATTTAAGCAATAGCTTGGTGATTATAATGTATGATAACTAGATAAGTGTATATTGCGTTTAAAAAAAAAGAAGAAAAAAAGAAGAAGAAAATCTTAGATTCACTTTTGGTGGATTTTGTACTGTATTTATTACTAATGATGATGCAAAAAGTTGCATAGCTTAACCCAAAATTTTCTTTCTTTTTTAATTTCTTGTCTTGTATATGACCCTTTTTGTATGTGTTTTTTCAAATAAACTGTTGAAAATGCCTCAAATGTTGTATCTTTGTGCAGTAACGTCTCTTGTAATCACGCATTCTGCTCAAGAAAACCTTTTAATCTTAGTGTGGTAAAGTCAAGCTTGAGATCATTCATTTTCTTTTTGGCTTAGTCCCTTTATTAATCAGGGGTCACCACAGCGGAATGAACCGCCAACTTATCCAGCATATGTTTTACACAGCGGATGCCCTTCCAGCTGCAACCCATCACTGGGAAACACCCATACACACTCATTCACAACACTACGGCCAATTAAGTTAATCAATTCCCCTATAGCGCATGTGTTTGGACTGTGGGGGAAACCGAAGCACAGGGAGATCTCCACACAGAAACACCAACTGACCCAGCCGAGGCTCGAACCAGCAACCTTCTGTGAGGTGATCGTGCTACCCACTGCGTGACACCAGGTCAAAGGTCAGGGATGTTTTTCACTGTAAAAACATGATTATTTATTAAAGCATGGAAGCACATCAGTAGTAAAGTTTATTCTGAAATGTATTCAATATTTTATATAACATTATGAGCAGCGCGTCATAAATTACAATACAGCAGCATCGAGAAAATCATTTTCTGAGGAGGATCAATTCGCAGATTCTTTTAAAATGTAAGTTAGCACAGCACCATTTGCATAAGAGCTGTTTTGTTAGAAATACATATGCAGGTTTCAATATTGTGCACATTTTTGGACAATAATAAGTTATTTCAAAGGAATTTCTAGTGGGATTCATACTTAATCACAATGGATGCCATTCCAGCCTCAACCCAGCACTGGGAAACATCCATATACACCCATTCATAGATAGATATTTACAGTGTTGGGCAAGCTACTTGAAAAATGTAGTGAGCTAGGCTATTAGCTACTCTACTTGGAATGTAGCTTAACTACACTAAAGCTATCCCCTGGGAAATGTAGCAAGCTAAGCTAAAAGCTACATGGCAAAAGTAGCTTAGCTACATCTAAGCTATTTTTGCTATTTTTGTTTTGAAGTCGAAGCAACTTAAATCCAAGTCAATCATTTCTTAGTGATCAATAAAACTGTCAATGAAACATATGAGGTAGAATAGATCAGTTCAGTTAATAATATGCTGCACTAAACAGAAACAAATTATAATATATAGCAGCACAAACAAAAAATCAAACAAAAAAATCTAATAAAAGCAGGTGTTATACATTTAAAATACTATAGTCATTTATAGTAAAAAGAAACATTTTGACATAAGCATCATGCATATTATATATATATATATATATATATATATATATATATATATATATATATATATATATATATATATATATATAAATTACACAACATAATGCAGTTATTTATAGTAGTACTTACTATAAATTACTTAAGTAATTTTTGAGCACAGCATCAGAAATTTTTGCATCTTAACATGTACTTCTCGAGGTATGATCACGAATGGGCACACACTCCTACGTCAAGCTGCGGTCGATTTGAAAAATCTCCAATTTGTCCACCGTTTTTATGTTGTTAAATTGAAAAAAAAAAAAAGGACTGTGTGTGTTTATATCAGCCCAATATGACGCTCTATACACTATACTTACACACATGTCTGTCCAGACAACTTGACAAGTAGATTTTTCACCATAGGTGCCCTTTAACATAACAGATCTTCATACAGCAGTGGAGATTAGCCTGTATCCTGTCACATTTGCATGCAAAAACAGTGCAAAGCTAAACGCACTCTGTCTGTGTGTGTGTGTGTGCGTGTGACTCATGGCTGCAACTCCACAACAAATACATCAAATAATCATTGGTAAAGTTCTTACTGCAGTATTTCTCACAAACGTTACGTGAGACCTTCTTCCTGAGGCAGCCGAGGGCGGTGATTGAAGCATGCTGACAGGCACCTGGCAACGGTCGGCGGGGAGGACTAGCCTTAACGGCCCAGTACAAAAAAACAGCAACAAGCTTTTAAGAGCTATAAAACAGAAACTTCAGAAAGCTATATTCAATAATCTGTTTTGAGCTGAAACTTTACAGACACATTCTGGGGACACAAAAGACTCACATTAAATCTGGAAAAAGTGCTAACCTAGGTGCCCTTCAATCAATCGCACATGCTTGTTTATATTGAACGAATACAAAAAGTGTAAAAGGATGTTAATAATAGTAAAAAAATGTGTCACTAAATATACCTGGGAAGCTGTTATTATACCTGGGCCGCTCGCCTAAGTAAAGTCTATGGGCCCTATCATACACCCGGCGTAATGTGGTGCAAGGCGTGATTGTTGTTTGCTAGTTTCAGCTTGGCGCAAGAGTTGTTTTGACATGTTGCGCCAAGCTGTTTAAATAGCAAATGCATTTGTGCTCATATGTGCACCCAGAGGTGTTCTGCTCTAAAAAAGCAGGCGTGTTTTGGCGCGTTGCTATTTTGAGAAAGTATAATAGTCTGTTCTTTAGACCAGAACAAAATCGGTCTATTGTCCAGCGCAGAGTTATGCCTCGCTTACACACTGCTCAATACACACAAGATGTAGAGCAATATGCAAATATCTTTACATTTGAAAAGAATTCAAATATTAAGGATATGCAGCTCAACTCCTTGTTCAAGCTCTTGTTCTCTCCAGACTGGACTATTGCAACTCTCTTCTAGCCGGGCTTCCAGCTAACTCCATCAAGCCTCTTCAACTGCTCCAGAACGCAGCAGCACGAGTGGTCTTTAATGAAGCTAAAAGAGCACATGTCACTCCGCTGCTCATCCGTTTGCACTGGCTGCCAGTTGCTGCTCGCATCAAATTCAAAGCTCTGATGTTTGCTCACAAAGCGACTTCTGGCTTTGCTCCTTCTTATCTGCTCTCACTTCTGCAGATGTATGTGTCCTCCAGAAACTTGCGTTCTGTGAATGAACGTCGCCTCGTGGTTCCATCCCAAAGAGGGAAGAAATCACTTTCCCGAACTCTCGCATTCAATCTGCCCAGTTGGTGGAATGAACTCCCTAACTGCATCAGAACGGCAGAGTCACTCGCTGTCTTCAAGAAACCACTAAAAACTCAACTATTTAGTCTCCACTTCACTTCCTCATCTGCAATTGCCTCTCTGAATATTACACTAACTGTACCCAAAAAAATAAATAAATAAAAATAAAATACTAATACTACTAATACTTCCCTTCTTAGACTTTACAGACCTGAAACTTGCCTATAGCACTTCTTTATTGTTGCTCTTATTTGTGTAAATTGCTTCCTTGTCCTCATTTGTAAGTCACTTTGGATAAAAGCGTCTGCTAAATCACTAAATGTAAATGTAAATATATATAGGATATAAATATAAAGGATTAAAATATTACAAAACATGATATTTTCTAGCCTACATAAATATAAACACCACTGCCTTCATGCCTTCTTCATCTCGGGAGGCTTTTTCAGTTCATTCATAACAATTTGCTTTTGTATAATGTTATTATTATTAGCAGTATTATTTATTATATCCATAATAAATATGGATATAAATGTAATGTAAATGACTAAATGTAAATGTAAATATTTATATTTGTTTTATTAAAAACAAGCTTAGATTTGTCCACCTGTCAGGTTTTAGATCATATGGGGCACAGCATGTGTTTTAGAATATAACTCAGGTTACTGAGCACACTTCATTTATTATTGTTCATTTATTCGTTTGCTGGAGATTAGAACTGAATTTAGAAATAGTTTTGAAACAAATATTTGCGCTCAACTAACTAAATTCATTATTTATAGGCTAATTGATGTCTGTGCATACAAGGTTTCCCTATCCACGAGAGCCAAAGTGAAAGTAGATCATTTATCTCTCATCACGCTGCAGATGCTCTTTTTAACTGTTTTTTTGCTAGTGTAATGTTCAGTTTTTCCACTTACACTTACTTTACGTCATGTAAATAGCGAATGCGCTTATGGCGCGACGCAACTGGCTCTTAAAGGGAATGGGAGATGAGACTCTGATTGGTTTATTCTCAAAATACACCTATAACTCATTAAGAAAATAAACTCAACCCTTTTAGATCATGCACCACGACGCAAAGTGGATTTTCCCGTCCTTATATTAGCGAATATGGATTCTGACGCCCTGAATGCGTTTGCACCCTGTGCTTTCCGTTTTGCGCACGGATCGTCGAAATAGAGCCCTTTGTGTGAGTGGGTTTAGAACAAGAGTGAGTAAATAAGGACAGTTTTTGGAGTGAACTGTCCCTTTAAATCTGAACCAAATGACAATAACAACAGAAGTTCTCAGTACAAAGATCATTTATTAGAATTTCTGTAAAAAAGTACAAACTGGTGTCTCCCAAAAGCAACTTAAGATCCTGTAAAAATTAAATGACATTTATTTTTGGATTAAGATTGATAATTGACTACCTACAAAGTCTAAACAGCTTAGCTCGCCAGTATTTGAGGAGGGACCTACTGGTGTATTATAGCCCCTCACGCCCACTACAATCAATTAATCCTGGACAACTGATCATTCCCAGAACATCAGCATTAACTATAGGCGGTAGATCTTTCTCATATCTGGCACAGCCAGCACAGTTCGGGAAGCAGACACACTCTGTCAGTGTAAAACTAGCCTCAACACACATCTCTCTGCATTAGCATACACATTAAACACAACTGCTGTTGAAATCCAGATCCTCTAAAGGATTATTAGTCTGTTATTTAGGGCAACCGGAATAAGGTCACATCACTGGATAAAAAAAAATGCACGTTTCAAATTTCACTTTAATATTTAGGATAGAGCACTCGATAAGTTTGTCCGTCTGCTCTATTTTTGTCCAGCCACTTCCCGCAGACAAAGATGGTGGTCACCCAGTTGGCAGTGTTGGTGACCTCCACACACTCCAGGAACCAGCCAGGCGACATGGTCGTGTTATCATGCTCCATTCTGACCCTCAGAAGTTCACCCAAATCCAGCATCTCCAGCAGGAACCGGTCCGTCCGGCCGCGCTCAAACAGGTTTCTGAATTTCTGCTTCAGCGCTCGTTTCCCAGAGTCCCCATTGACACCGTACAGCGTGATGAAGACGTTGGCGTTTGTGCCGGCGTCCTGCACGTCTCCGGTTATTATTATTACTTCATATTTCACAGGAACCAAACTGCGGACTTTGCTGGCGAAGCTCTCCACGGTTTTGGTGCACTCGAATGTCATGAACTGGTCTTTTTTGGCAGCCAGAGGGATTCGAGAGTCACATGTGAAGTAGAATCTGTGAGGAGGAATGGAGAGAATTATCTGATACAGTAGGCTCCGTTTTGTTACGCATACAGTGAAGATGACGCTCATATAAATATGCAGCTACATGACACCTTAACATGTTTAGTGTCCGTTAAGTTGCAATTCCTTATATCATGTGTTCATTTTATTGTTAAGAAAGTGAAACAACATAGCCAGGGACATGGTGATGCGAATGAGGTCATAAAGTAGCCTACACTGTTCCCTTTGAAGATTTACTCGACGTCTGCTCAGGAGTCTGTTTTCCATATCAAACTTGTGAAGTCTGAACTTACAGGGAGAGGATGCAGGACTGAACTGTGTGTAGGCCACTTAATATTGAGGTAAAAGCCCCAATCAGATAGGAGAATGTCTGCAGCCCCGCCTCCATTTTCAGATGTCTCTGTTTTCCCTCATCCACACTGACACGGAGCAGCAGTGCTTTCAAACTAAAATGGCCTCTTCTGCATTTTCAAAAATCCCAGTTTTCGGCGCTCGAAAACTCAGGCGTAGTGTGGACGTATGGTGAAACCATAGCAAAACGTATGTGTTTTCAAACGAAAACGTATTAGTGTAAACAGGGCCTTAGAGTATGTGACTGAAATGTGACCTCTGGTGGACAATAGCAGACACTGACACAGAGTTTCACGTGAGGTTATTAATTAGCACATATTATAAATATTACGAGCGTAAACATTAGGTGAGCAGGTTACACTGTAACTTTGTGTCCTGACAACACTCTACGTGATGAGATGCGCAGTGATGAGCAATTTGGCTGTTTGCAGCAGACAAAACATGACAGAAATGTAAATACAGCCATTCAGAAGAGCAGAATAGTGCACTCACTGCACTCCAGCACAATGGTAAGGTTTATAATCTGATGAATACATATTAAAGCTCTTTAACATGATTGATGTAGATGCAGAATCACTGATATGTGTTGGTTTGCACTGAGTCCCAGTTCTGAAGTTCAGTTTCAGACGCTTTATTCTATTCTCCAGATCTGAGCTGAACTATCTGCTGCTGCTTTCAGTAGTACGGCAATAAACGTGATGTAAAATGGCATTCAGACTCACTTTATTAGCATTGAAAACTGAATAAAGCACATGAGTCTGTACCTGAGCTGATCATTGTCAGTTCAACCTGTTTATCAGCTACAAGAAATAGAATTCTAAAGCTGCTGCTGCTTGTCAATCAGACAACGCTTCTGTGTTCATTCTTGCTGTCAATCGTGGGGAAAATGATCGATGAAAAGTTTATGATAAACCGCTGTGAGTTTCACTCAACTGCAAGCGCAGAGTTGCCATCAGAGTCAGATTTTGATACAAAACCTGCATTGAGCTGACTTCATGACAAACACAGAGCAGAATATAAAGACAAAATGTGCGGCGAGTTGAGAGCCCCTATGCTGGATTCACCTCTCACCTCTCCCCCGTGCTACAGTGTGTGTGTGTGTGTGTGTGTGTGTGTGTGTGTGTGTGTGTGTATGTGCGGTGACAGCTCTCACGCGCGCTTGTTCTAATCAATATGAATATTCCAATCAAACCGAATACAATCCTACATCAACAACACATGGCAAGCAACACGCTGATAATAACAAATAATCAGATTAGATTACAAACAACCGTTGTTTACACGTGTTTTAAAATGTGCGGGTCCTTTAAGGAGTGTGAAGAAGAGGGAGAAAGAAAAGAGGAGCGGTTTTTGGGCAATGAGACTTTTTTCAGTGATGTTCCCTCTTTAATGACTGATTTGTTGTACCACACGGAAAGTAATTAATATTTTGGACCAAGTTACATGTGTCCTTGTTCATTCACCAGCTGCAGCGAAAAGAGAAGATAGTTCACCCTAAAACTAACATATTCGGCCCTGGAGTAATAAGTGAATCTCCCCTGCTATCTCTAACACAACAAGGAGACAGAGCAGGAAAGGTTCACACATGTAATATTTTTCCTGAGGCGATTTGAAGCAAAATACACAATGATACTCAATCAAACACATCTACAATGATGAGGAACGTTGTTACTTAATGAGTTATTAACGCACAGCAATACCGCAATGAAGAAAGGATGGACTTTAAAGGAAAAATCAGTGTGAGGAGAGCTCCATTATAGTGCACTGGACAAGTCTGGACATGTTCTGCCCACGCATGTGTGGCAGGCAGGTCTGTACAATTACGTAATTTATCGGCTTAAAGATATCGGCCTAATTTAGAAATCGGATCGATAACAATAATCCTAAAAATAGCATTTATCGGCCGATAACAATATGGCCTCCAATATATCGTGCAACCCTACTTTCTACCTTTTTATCTTGTGTTACTCTTTATATTTTACTATTATGTACAGCACTTTGGTCAACTTTGGTTTTTTGCTAAATGTCCTTGATAAATAAATATTCTATTGTACTGTTTTATATTTGGGATGGCGATCAAATTACTGAAATCATCTTTAAAATCTGACGTTCAGGAAGTAAAGAGTGGTAAAGATGTGAACTCACTTGTTTCCCAGCTCTGTCTCAGTGACCACCACCTCCTGCACGTGCCAGAAATACTCATTCTTCACCTTCTTCTCTTTGGATATGTGGCCCAGACAAATGCCGACGATCTCGCCCACATTTTTAGAGGAAAACTCAAAGGAGTCCGTGGAACCGCTGAAACAGAGTCATGTTATGTTGCTTTATTAATTCTCATTATTATGCTAATGAGTTGCATGAAAATTAAAAAAAAAATTGGTGTAAAATATATTTTTCTTCACATTTATTTTATTTGAAGGGAAGCTCACATAAAAATAAAAAGTCATCATTTACTCACTTGTTCCAAACCTGTTTGAGTTGCATTAATTTTGTATATTGATAATTATTGTTATTAAGCCTTGTGTATTGTTCAGATTGACTCTCCCTTGGTGATATTGGTGCTGTTTTTGCCCCATTGACTTCCATTATAATCACATTTTTTTATAGCAAAGCCTTGACAGCACATGATCATGCATTCTGGATTGCTACCGGTTTCACTATTGGAAAGAGGGACAATTTGTAATTTTACTGTTGATCAAGGGTTTACAAGGGTTAGTGTTAGGTAGCTTATTTTTATTTACTTCTGATGGATGTACTGATGAATGCTAAAAAAAAATCCATTAACTTTCATTATGTTTTTTGTTCCTACTACAGAAGTCAATGGCTGTCCTTGTAATAGTGTAGTGCAATAACAATAAAGCTCAAGTCGACTTGAATTACCGTAAAAACTTCTTCTTCTTTGGGTTTTCCATCATAAACTCTTTTGAGCGTCCCTTTCTGCCCTCCAGCACAATCCAGGCATTCTCCTTCGTTTCCGCATCTTCAGAGATGGCCGTCGTCACCTCAATTTCATATTCTGAAAGTATATTATAGAGACCACCTAAATGCACAGATTAACTGGATATAAAATAAGTGTACAGTACAATTAAATAATACAGTCTTTCCTCACTGATTGATGCTATATTTCAGCAAAGTTAATGCACATTTTTCTCAATTCTTCCACTATATCATACTATAACAGTTCTTACACCTTTTCAAAAAGTTTTTCCATATGTTTCATGTGCATTCTCTTAACAATTGTGGGAAATTACACATTTACATATGAGTACATAAAGCATCACATTATATCAGATGTTATTTGTTTTATATATCCAGTCAAGCCTGAACTTATTCTTACTCTTGACAAATTCTGACTCAAAGATTTTGTTCAAATTTAAATAATAGTTAAGAAATGATTTTTCCCCACAATGATGCCTCTTGTTCATCGTCTTATTATCTTTTGGGAGAAGCCTCTGTGATTTCCGCTCAAACTTACTGGTGTCTGCCGAGATCTTAAAAAGTCTTAAAGGGTCACGAAACACCAGAACACATGTTTTGAGCTGTTGACCGCCATATATGTGTCCCGCGCTGCTATAAACACTATTAGGACACATACATTTCACTAACAAGTAAAAACTAGTTGTTTTTGCGATATTTCGAGCAAATTCATACTTCCGGTTTGAAACGAATTTTTGAAGCTGCGTCACTGCCATGAGATCTTAGCGTGTATTCCAGCATGTAGACTGGACGTCTGTACGTGGGAGTACCTTATTACATCTCTGAGTGCGTTGCATTTATTCATGAGTATGGCTTGGTTTAAACTAATCAGCGCGCTCTATTGTGTATGCGCTGCAACTTCATTAATATGCATGATAGCTTCGAAGACTGTACTTGAAACAGTGTTCAGAAAGCAGAGAGACGACACGTTGTGTTGCCAAAAGAAGTGTGAAAATATAATGAATTGTTTGGAGATACGGGTCGTCAGTGTTGCTTTTATAATGTGCTGCAGCAGGGCCGGCCCGTGGCATAGGCAGTATAGGCAAATGCTAGGGGCGCTGTACATCCAGGGGGCACCAGAAATGAGCGGGTGTAAGTTGGTTTTTGTTTTCAATACTCCTGACACACATTCAGTGATGGATGTCAATAACTCAAAAACCTCTTTCCCTAAAAAGATCTAAAGTGTGTTTCCTACAAAAAGACAAAGCTGGTGATGTTTCACAGCTGTCTTTTTCTTTTTTTTTCGCTCGATATTATGAGCACTGCTTTGTTTAACCTGGGATATGCGTTTAGCCGGGAGAGCTGAGCTCGCGTGGAGTGGAGCTCTCCGTAAGAGACCGTCGGAAAAGTGCTTCTTTTTTTCCGTTTTTTTTTTTTTTTTGCTCTATCCTGCTTGTTTTATTTTAAACAAATCTAATTTTCTCTTAAATGAGCACAACAATTACTAAAGTAGTCGAATGCTTCATTCATTCATTCATTATAGATCTGTGCATTCTTACATGAACACCTCTGTTATCAAACAAAACACAATGAGAGATTCATTTGCTGCTCTTCACTAAATAGCAAATACAATTAAAAGTGAAGTAGATTTTATAGCTTTATTTAATTTCGGTATAGGCCATTGATTTTAATAGGTTAAACCTTTTATTTTATTGTCAATATTTTCTATTGTTTGCTATGTATTCTATCATTTGAAGCTATTTGTTGTCCCATATTTTAACATCCCAACGTTGATAGATGTGACATAACATTGCTAATCATTAAATAGCTATAGTGCTATCTGTTAGTTTTAATGTCAGCTAATGTTATGGAAGGGCATAGATGTTATGGAAAATAGTAATAGTAATGTAACTACCCCCATCATTCCTTCCTCAAGCAAATGTGTGAATATTACATCTATTCAGCAATAATGTTAATTGCATTGGCATATTTATCTGACATTTTCCCAGCTTGTAGTAGTCGATCAAAAAGCTGTTTAGTTTCTTATGACTTTACACTAGCAGTGGAATTTACTGCGATGTGACAGAGCGCCACCTGAAATCTTGCCTAGGGCGCCAAATTGGTTAGGGCCGGGCCTGTGCTGCAGTGAAGGTTTTGATTTCATTTTCCCTTTATGCGAGCACAACTGGACTCACGTGTGGATTACAGTGCACATGAGTGATGTGCGCAGAAATACGTTTGTACGAAACATTTTTTACTTGAGAGCTTTTCGCATCTGGAAATGTTGAAATCCGGATTTGCTGCTCGTCTCCTTTTAATAAAGACGCGGCTCCAGTGTGTGTTGATTGTCCTGTCTACAGATTTGGTAAGTGTGTGCGATCAGCGCCCTTTCTTTGTTCATTCAGATGGCAAAGTTATAGTTGGTACGGTCAGCAGTATTCTTTCAGTGTTTAGAGACAGACCTTAGTCAGAATGATTTCTAAGTTACTTAGTTTGCGTTAATATCACTACATTATTATGGACTGAAAGATCCTCTGTGAATGCTGCTCTCCGAGTGTAAATACGTGAACACTGCAAACAAACTATTGCCGACCATCGTGTTTAATATTCCATTGCATTTTGTGACAGGATAGTCTACACACACACGGCTTTCTGAGTGCATCTGAGTTATCGAGAAATGCAAAGTTTTTTTTCTCTTATACAACGTGCGGTATCAAACATCCCACCGTCATTAAACAAGTCATTCTCTTTCTCCCCTTCATCTGTGTTTGTTTTTTGTCTTGGTGAAAATCAGGGCGTGCCTAAAAGGGAACTCCCATTTTTATTCAAATCCTTCCCCTTTTCCCTCCCCCGACACTCCCACCCAAACAGAGCTAGACACACCCACTTTCCTGACTTTTTCCAAGCAAGAGGTGTGAAAACATCCTGCTGAAATCGTATGAACCCTGACGCTACATGAAATATGAGCCCTATAGCCTGATGTGGAGTGAAAATGTGTTGAAATATCTTCTAGTTTTCTTACTGGTCTTGTCACTAAGATCCAGGATATCATTATTGGCACAGGCCAGTTCCCTCATGATCTGACCGTCGTCTTCATTTTTGGCCAGCCAGCGGTCACACGGGAAACGGAAAGTTTGATCCAGAAGTTCGTCTTTCACATCTATAGAGTCCAGATGCCAACCAGGAGCTGGACCTGATGAAACATGTTCAGATATTGCATTAACTAAATAAACTATATTTTGTAAGCTGTTTGAACTGAACTATGTGTAGGTATAGTGTCACATTGGAGGGAAATAAACACAACAGATCTCTATTCCTAATGTTAAGGTAGGATCCAAATCGCAGTGATTTTGAGGCCCATGTGATGTAAGAGTGCAGTTTTCCCCGCCCACCTTGTTGATTGAAAGCCGCGTATTAACATGTCTGCATGGTAGAGCACACAATCATGTACACAAAGCAAGATTTGCAAATAAACTGTGATTTGGAGATCTTTATGTGTGTGAATGACTGGGTAAGGGTGTTTCCCAGTACTGGGTTGCAGGTGGAAAGGCATCTGTTGCGTAAAACATATGCTGGAATAGTTGGCAGTTCATTCCGTTGTTCATTCCCTGATGAATAAAGGGAATAAGCCGAAGGAAAATGAATGAATAAATAAAAGATCTGTTATATTATTTTGCTAATTATTCTTCAAGACACTAGTGTTCAGCTTAAAGTGACATGTAAAGGCTTCACTAGGATAATTAGGATAAAGTTAGGGTAATTAGGCAAGTCATTGTATAACAGTGGTTTATTCTGGAGACAATCCAACACTAATATTGCTGAAGGGGCGAATAATATTGACCTAAAATGGCTTTAAACAGTTAAGAACTGCTTTTTGTCAGGGTTCTGCCACTCTGGTCTTGTAAATTCTTGTTTCGGTGGCAGAGTCCGGACACTAGCTCTGTCTAGTCCTGTCCTGTCGACCCAAGAAAACTTGAGCTGAGCACTTGTTTTGTCATTGTGTGTGTCTCTGTATAAGTACCATTTGCCTGATGCGGGTGCGTGAGGTCTTTGCGTGTTTGCAAGTGCGCGCTCCCATCCGGGTGTTCACGTTCGTCTGTCTGCAGCTTGGTGTTTCATTCCTAGCGTTCAGTCCAGTTGGTTTTGGTTTCGGTCAGCGCTGGGTTGAAACATGCACGCTGCGTGTGTGAGTGCACGGTGAGTGCTTTCATTCATCGTGTACTCGTGTCTTGCGTTCAGTCTTCTGTTGGTGTTGTGTTTAGCATGTGGTGCGTGTTTACATGCACCCTGTGCTTGTGTTGTCATGAACACACGGTTAATGAGTTCTCTCATTGGCTGCGTGTTCTAGTCTTGTTTTACATGAGCGCATGACTTGTGTTGTCTCTTTGTGTCATGTGCTCTCCCGTCTATTGTCTAGTCGCACCCTCCTTGTTAACCTATCAATTGTGTTCCTCTGGTTGTATGTTAATTTACTTCTGTTTATATTCTCCACATATCTGCTGTCCTTTGCCAGTTCGTCATCGTTTCTCTCCTTGTCCTGTGCGTTCTCCAGTTCTGATCCCTACCAGCCTGCCCAGTCAAGTTTTGTTTGTTTGTTTGTTTGTTTGTTTATTTTGCTAGTTTTTCCCCCTCTGGGTAGTTTGTTTTGCATTTTATTTTATTTTTATTATTAATAAATTTCCATTTACCTGCATTTGAGTCCTCGCTCCTTTTTCCCCAACCAAAATCGTGACACTTTTATTCTAGCCCACATAAAACAAATAAGACTTTCTGAAATGAAATTCACTAGTGAAATTGCTAGTGAGATCATGAGATTTCTTACCTTTGTTGTCGTGCCACACGCGAACCTTGGAGAGTTCTCCCAGACTGAGAATGTCATTAAACCGGAAAATATCCGTCTGCTTGCGCTCAAACTTGTTCCTGTTGCTGCACTCGCGCAGGGCCAGCGTTCCCGTGTCACCGTTTTCTCCAAACACAATCAGAAACACATTGGCGTCTGTACCGCCGCCTGCAAACCCACACATGAACACACCTGAGCAGCTGCAGTGCTTGGGTTAATAGATGGGTGAAAGATGAGATGTGGCAGATGTGTGGCATGTGTGATTTTAGTATCAGTGTCAAATGAAATGTACAAAACGGATTTTACAATCACAGACAGGGCTGCCAGGTACAAGAAAATGTCTGCCACAATTATGCAAAATTATCTTGTGCCAATCTCTTCCCTGTCAATTTTGACTCAGCAATTATTTTGCTCTGATCATATTTTGACTCAGTGATTGTTTTTTTCCATTTATTTGCCTGACCGTCTTGATTCAGCGATTCTTTTGTGTAAATCTTTTGTGATTCTTTTGAGGGATTTGATTCTCTGTCAATTTTGACTAAGCAATTCTTTTGTGCCATTTGGTTCCCTGTCAATTTTGACTCCGTGATTCCTTTATTTTTTTTTTTTCCTGGCAAGTTTGACTAAGTGATTCTTTTGTGTCAATCCATTTCTGCCCATTTTGACTCCGCAATTCTTTTGTGTCAAATGCTTTTCTGTCAATTGTGACACAGTGATTCTTTTATGTAAATTGCTTATCTGTCAGTTGTGACTCAGTGATTCTTTTGTGCCATTTGGTTCCCTGTTAATTTTGACTCAGCGATTCTTTTGTGCCATTTGATTCCCTGTTAATTTTGACTCAGCGATTCTTTTGTGTAAATTGCTTATCTTTCAGTTGTGACTCAGTGATTCTTTTGTGGTGTTTGATTCTCTGTCAATTTTATCTTAGCGATTTTTTTTTTTTTTTTGTGTCATTTGGTTCCCTGTCAATTTTGACTCTGCGATTCTTTTGTGTCTATTGTTTTTCTGCCAAGTTTGACTAAGTGATTCTTTCGTGTCAGTTGCTTATTTGTCACTTGTGACTCAGTGATTCTTTTGTGCCATTTAATTCTCTGTCAATTTTGACTCAGCGATTATTTTGTGTCAGTTGTTTACCTGTCAATTTTGATTCAGCGATTCTTTTGTGGCATTTGGTTCCCTGTCAACCTTGATTCAGCGATTCTTTTGTGCCATTTTGTTCCCTGTAAATTGTGACTCAGCGATTCTTTTGTGGCATTTGGTTCCCTGTCAGTTTTAACTAAGCAATTCTTTTGACGCGATCAAATTGTGCTTTTTCAAGTTTTTTATTGCAAATTGCTTTCCTGTAAGTTGTGACTCCGTGATTCTTTTGTGTCATTTGCTTCCCCTTAAATTTCGAGCCTTTATTTTGTGCCAATTGTTTTGTTCTGTTGTTTCTGATTTGTTTATGTCCATTTTGACTCTGCGATTGTTCTTCTAATCGCATTCTTGCCAATTTTGACTCAGCGATTGTCTTTTGCCAATTGCTTCTACACTATCATGTCATCAGTAAGCACATTTCAAAGATAACCTGAAGGTGACCCACCGGTGACGTCACTGGTTTTGACCTGGATGACGTATGTGGTCTTCTCCACCATCTCCTCATCATCCACCACTGCAGGAAGCTCACACACCTTCGTCCTCTTGGGTCCTTTAGTTTTGGAGAGCCACTGCTCGTATGTGAAGACGTACAGCTCGTCCGTGCTCAGGTTTCTCAGGATCATCTGGGTCATGTGACAGAACACAGTGTTTATAGTGTGTTAAAGAGCTAAATGCATAACCATCTTGTGACAGGCTGATAGATTATTTTTTTATTCTCAGGGTTCCTTTTACAGCATTGGTAATTGGTCATTTCATTAAAATGCAGTGAGTTAAACAGACTTAAAGGGCCCGTAAATTTAAATCAGCAGTTTTGTGTGCTTCCATATCAATTTTGACTCAGCGATTCTTTTGTGTCAATCACTACCCTGTCAGATTTGACTCAGTTTATAAAAGAGGGAGGAGCTAATATATGCCCCACCCTCTCTTCACGTTTCCACATCAAATATTGAATTATAATATTACGCCTTATTCCAAATTAAAAGTCCTCATGGACACAGCCCATTAATCTGATGATCTGGTTAAAAAGACTGACAGACTGACCTTGTCAAGGAACCAATCAGGACGACTTCCGGTGCCGTCAATGCGAACGCGGAGCTTTTTCAGGGGTGCAATGTCGTCCACTTCCAGACTAAAGGTGTCTTCTTGACCTCTTTCAAACCTAGAGGAGATTTTTTCAATAAATACGATGTTTTATCAATTTAATGCACCGAGTGTCTTTTTTTCTATACATTTATGAGCAGTTTTATCAGCAAACCATGTTAAACTAAATTGTATTATTAATGTTATAATTATACATTTTATTCCAGCTCAGGATTATTCACACGGACATAAAAAATCCAGAGCAAACTGATCTGAATATATATATATATATATGTGCATCATGTAAAACTGTAATTGTACTATTATTGGGCGACACGGCGGCTCAGTGGTTACAACTGTGGCCTCACAGCAAGAAGATCGCTGGTTCGAGTCCCGGCTGGGTCAGTTGGTGTTTCTGTGTGGAGTTTGCATGTTCTCCCCGTGTTGGCGTGGGTTTCCTCCGGGTGCTCCGGTTTCCCCCACAGTCCAAACACATGCGCTATAGGGGAACTGATCAACTAAATTGGTCATAGCGTATGAGTGTGTGTGTGTGAATGTGTGTATGGGTGTTTCCCAGTACTTGGTTGCAGCTGGAATAATAATTTTTGAATAATTTAAAATTATTATTAATTTTATTCCAATTGATGTTGTTGACAATCTTGTTTATACTATATTATAATATATATTGAATGCACTGACACTATAAAAATCTGAACCAAAGTTATCTAAATATGTCTATATTGTATATATAAATGGCCTGAAATTATTCACACCACTGAGGGATATATTCATTCATTCTTTTTCTTTTTGGCTTAGTCTCTTTATTCATCAGGGTTCGCCACTGGGGGGTATAAATAGTAATATATATGATACAGAGCTGCACAGTGGGCCAATAGGGGATGTAGGTTTTGTCACATGACTGCATTTTGGTTCTTTTCAACTGGTTCGGACCAAAGCAATCAGTGTGGTGTGAAAACGACCCGAAGACGGCAGAAAATGCTACCATGTACCATTTGTTGCTCTTAGTCCAGACCAAATGAAGTGAATACAGATGTGAAAGCACCCTACATGAGTTTTCTCAGCCATGCTTGATGAGAAATAAAAGTAAGCAGAGGATGTGTACCTGTCCTCTTGTTTTTCAAGCAGAATCTCCTCTGTGCTTCCATTGGCCCCGAACACGGTAATGAATATATTCGTGTCTGTTCCTGCGCTCTGCGTGTCTCCTGTGACCACCGTCACCTCATAAACCACCTGAAGAAAAGCCAGAAATCAGACAGATGCACAGCTGAAGTCAAAATAACTCTCCTCCGCCCTCTCTCCCAAATGATGTTGAATAGATTCAGGAGTTGTTCACAGTATTTCCTCTAGTATTTGTTCTTCTGGAGAAAGTCCTATTTGTTTTATTTGGGCTAGAATAAAAGCAGTTTTTAATTGTTTTAAAACCATTTTATGGTCAATATTATTCGCCCCTTCAGCAATATTAGTGTTGGATTGTCTCCAGAACAAACCACTGTTATACAATGACTTGCCTAATTACCCTAACTTTACCCTAATTAGTGAAGCCTTTAAATGTCTCTTTAAGCTGTATAAAAGAATATCCAGTCTAATATTATTTACTGTCATCATGACAAAGAGAAAAGACATCAGTCATTAGAGATGAGTTATTAAAACTATTATGATTAGAAAGGTCTGCTCTCCATTAAAATAATATTTAATAATCCATTAAATATACAGTGGAGGGTAATAATTCTGAGTTCAACTGTATAATGTTTTAAAGGGCCATGAAACCCCCTCGTTTCAGCAGGATGTTTTCACACCTCTACTTTGGAAAAAGTCAGAAAAGTGGGCGTGTCCAGCTTTGTTTAGGGGGGAGTGTAGGAGGAAGAAAAGTGGGATGGTGTAGGAGTGTCTATTTGGGCACGCGCGAGTTTCAGAATCAAAACACATAACCACAGCGGACAATGTGACTGTGTTTACATGCACATCTGTAGTCGAATTATTTGCCAACTGATTAAATGGTGGACTTTAACTGCAGTTTGGCTCTTTCATTCAGGGAATTCAGTCATGTCCCTCGCGGCAAACAAGATATTTGATTCGAGGAACTGCTCTAAGCGTGTATTTTTCATGCAATGTTTGATCCCGCACGGTAAGCTCAGCATTTCCCGGAAACTTAGATGCACTCGGCAAGTAGCGTCAGAAAGCCGCGTGTGTTATTCCGGTCACAAAATCCTACACGAGGTTATAGTTTGGTTGTAGGGCTAACTTGTTTACACTCGTTGCAATAGTTTTTTCGATACGAATAAAATACGAACTGAATAAACAAAGAGCACTGGTCGCTCACTTACCAAATCTGTAGAGACAGGACAATCACCAGCAACTAGAGCCGCGTCTTTATTAAGAGGAGACTACAAGCGAATCCAGATCTCAGCGTTTGCAGATGAGAACAGCTCTCAGGTAAACAATAATCTTCCTTAGACACGTAAGTTATTGTTGTCGAGCGTCGCGTACACTGTTAATCCACACGTGACTCCAGCTGAGCTCTCACAGAGAGAAAATGAAAACAAAACTTCACTGCAGCAAACTATAAAAGCAACACTTCACGCTTGTTTTGCCAACACAACGTGGCGTTTCTGTCGTCTAAACACTGTGACAGTAATGAATATTAATGAAGTTGCACAATAGAGCGCGCTGATTGGTTTGAACAAGCTTTACTCATGCATTAATGCAGCACACTGTAAGACATAATAAGACACACTCTGGCACAGACGTCCAGTCTGCACGCTGGAATACACGCTATTATCTCATGGCCGTGACGCAGCTTCAAAAATTAGTTTCAAACCGGAAGTACGAATTTGCTTAAAATAACGCAAAAACAACCAATTTACACTTTTTAGTGAAATAAAGGTGTCCTAATAGTGTTTTTAGCAGTGTGGGACACATATACCACTGTCTACAGCTCAACACATGTGTTTTGGTGTTTCATGACCCTTTAAAAACTTCTGCAATTGATCGCAACATGAATATCTGATTCCATCAGAAGCTTATGTCCATGCTGACGGACCTTTCGGATGATGCTGATGGTGGTGGCGTCCAGTATGTTGAAGACTCTCGCCGTCAGGCCGTCTCCTCTGTCTTTGGCCAGCCAGCATTTGCACAGAAAGTTGTACTGAATGCCTTTAGTGGGAACGCCCACCGAGAGCTCATCCACCAACCAGCAGCTCTCTGGGGTCGCCCCGTTATGACCCAGCTGAGGAAAGAAATGAAACAGAAATGAAGGTCCCACTTTATACACTGTTAGACATTTCTGTAAATTACACAGTTATTTACTGTATTTCACCCAGTGTAATACTGCAAATTCCTTTTACGGCAAATAACTGTATTTACCGTTGCATTATGGGAATTTAGTGTGACGTCGAACAACATATACAGCGATGTACTGTATTTGTAAAAATTCGTGTGTTATACTGTATTTTCCACAACTGCTTCAACGCCACCTTGCGGCGATTCGACTACTCTGCACCACATTTTGCCTGAGGACCCTTGAGGACAATTAGTGTGCCTGAAGAACATACTGGATTTAACAAACTTTACTCTGGTAAGCTGAGGCAGTGTTTCATTTTACAGAATGTTTTTTGGACGAGAATAGAACAAAGTAAAGTATAAAGTTGGCTATTATTATTTTCTCTGGCTTGGCGTTATTTCGCCCATTTGAGAAATATATCATCTATTAAGATGTTACCTTTATTTAATTTATTACATTAACACTACTATTACTTTAAATAAGACTGTTTATGACTATTAGCCATTGTTCTCGTCATATCTTTTTATTTATTTACATAGGAACCGGTGTTGCAGCGGGTTTTGGTTTAGGAGGGAACCAGAGGTATGCAGACAGTTTTGGAGGACACTTAGCACGAGACAACGGTCCGGCAGAGAGTGTTTTCCCCCAGAAGAATATGAATGAAAGACCAACAAATAATCCAGGTAAAAGCGCGTCTGTCTGTGCTGACAACACTCGACATTGATTTGAGCACCTCTATTAGCATTTGTTTGCTCGGCAACATTAGCTGAAGCGATCTTAAAATGGTAATGTTAACTGTTAGCTAAACTGAGCTAAGTTTATACTGAATTGGACTCAAACTCATTTAACGTGCAACGTTTAACTTATATTGATTTATACTATATATATTAGATGTTGTGAACTTATTTTTCTCTGGTTTAGAGTAACTTATAACGTTAGCTTGAGAAAATAACATCGCGACGTAACCTATAAGAACGTTAACGTAAATCTACAATATGCATAGAGGTAAAGTTGGTTTTATATTCGCACATTCGTTCATTTAGAAGACTCTATACTGTTTACCATGTTACTTTAAATATTCGATCAGAATTAGCATGCCAGTATGACTTGAAATCAACATTAACACTGTTTATTTGACCTTGAGCATGTTGTACTTTGATAGTCATTAGTTAGCTGCTAAAATGATTTCGCTATTTAGAGTTTGCAAATAATACTTTTATGAAATTAAATTATTAAGGGGGAAGTCTGAATCTGCTAATATAAAACCAACTTTACCTCTATGCATTATGCTAATAACCACCTTTTTGCTATTTATTGTTTGCTAATTATTTTTTTATCACAACTCTTGACATTTGGTTTAACATAATTGTTACCATTATATTTTTTCCTGTTTAGATATGGCACTGACACAGCAGCAGGTTTTGTCTGAAGAAACAAACAGCATTTCGGAGGAACATCTTGATCAGCACAGCCTTCTGCTTAAAAAATAAGCAAGACCAGTAAACAAATACAAAAAAAGTTGTGTGGAGGTTGTGGATTGTAGCATGGTATTCTTATCTGTATTTTTGGCTTTTTTATGGTCTCAATATAGAATACTGGGAGCCTGCCTGTGCAAACTGGACCTCATACAACAGTAAGTACTGTACATCTATTTGTTTCTCAATATAGTAACGTTACTTTTAATACAAAATGTGTCACATGTTTAGTTGCTAGCTAAATAAAAAAAATGTTTTCCCTTTTTTATTAAACCTTTTAGTAGGGTTTTTTTCATCTTTGTTTATAATATTTTTGAGCAGATTGAGGTCTGTCATGGGTCAGACATTTCAAAATACAATAATTAGTATTGGGATACATGCATTTGTCTATGTATTAAATGTCTTTTTCCCCATTTCATGTTGCCTAAATATTTTGTAATATTAAATAATAAATATTATTATATTAAATAAAATAATAAAAATTTTTGTATAAATAATTCCAGAGGATGAAACAAAATGCACAGCAACAACCAGAGTGAGCCAGAAGATAGCAGGAGAAGTAGTGAAGAGAATGACAACCATGAACAACAGTGAGTTATCCTTCTTTCACCAGCTAACTGAGAACTTGGATTAGGTGAGACACTCTCAATAATTGTATCAGTATTCAGTCTGTTTTAGTTTATTAGGAATACATAAAACAAATAGTCTAATCTTTCCTGCAGTTAATCAACCCATCACAAATGCTACAATGTTTTTGTAAAACCTTGTTAGGGGAAAAAATAAACAGGACATTCTGGTTAGTTATCTTTTAAACATGTTAGTGAGCAGATTATGAGCAGGAGCCAGTTGCTCAGTACCAGCTGAAAACTAGCCCAACTTAGCTGCCATGCTTCAAAATAATTAACCAGTATATGATTTATTTTTTTTAAACAAGCTTCTTCTATGCTTATGTTAGTCTGTTTGTCCTTATCCAGAGTTCTTCATAATCCTGGACTGGGCCAAATCCTGACCAGATGCTGTGGTGGTCATGGAGGAGTGAATCCTAAAAGACACACGTGATCAATGAGTTTCCGCATTGATCCAATGGGCCACCCTGACCACCCGCTGGTGAACTTTCAAGCCTCCGATGCCTAGACTGCGGCCTTGCACAAGTTTGGCTAGAGGAGAACTGGTCGTGCCCAACTGTGCCTGGTTTCACTCAAGGGATTTTATTCTACACTTTCGTCAGTTGGTGAAGTTTCTTCCATGCCACTGTCGCCACTGGATCGCTTGGCTACAATTGCTCTTCAGTGTTTGGACTTTCAGCAGTGACATTTACTGCTTCAATTCTGAAAACTGGACTGAAGCAGCTTCAATTTACAAGAACTTCTATGTTAAGCTGCTTTGACATCATTGATCTACAGTGTAAAAGTGCAATAGAAATAAAGATGAATTGCATTTGAACATGTGAATTCAGACCTTGTTGAGCATTTGACACCAGAATTAGTAATATTTTAAAGTTGGGTTGTTTCTTAGTCGGCTAATAGTTACAAATATTTAATTTTCCAACAATATGCAATTCAGAAGTTTAAATTTTTATTGTACATGTATGTTCTAGTGCTTTGTGTGATTTATTTATTTTTAATGTGTTGATTTTATTGCTTAATGTAATTTTCACACATTTTCCTTAAATGCTTTAAGCATTATTAATGTTTTGAAGAATGGAATATTTTGTAATTGTGTCTGGTTTAATGTCAGTAGTACTTAGTACAATTGGGTTTTTTTTTTCTCAACAATATGCAGGTCAGACACTTAAATTAGTTTTGCACATGTATGTTAATGTGCTTTGTCATTTTCAATGTTTTTTTTCTTAAAATAAAATATTTTGAATGATTGAAATGTAATGTTTTTACACATTTTTAAGCTTGTTTTAAGCATCTCCAATGTTTTAAATAAAGAGTGTTTATTTTGTTAATATTTTGTAATTGTGTCTTTTTTAGGTCTATAGTATTAAAATAATATTAATAAAATTATATTATAAAATATTTAGGACAAAATTAAAAGGTTTACAGTAGCTAACTGTTAACTTAGGTTTTTACAGTAGTTAACCATTTTCAGACACTACAGTAACATGCTGTAAACGGATTTACAGTTGTATACTGTAAATCTAAAATACAGTAACTTACTGGCAACAGTGTTGCCAGTAAGTTACTGTAAAAACCCTTTGAAATGTCTAACAGTGTATTAAGAGGCCTTAACTAATATGTGCATACACTGAAATTAATAATTTGTTACAATGCACTTATTGTGTTATGAAGGGTGTGTGTGCTGATAATGGACGGAGTTAGGCAAGCAAAAAACAGGATAAACATTTCAGGGATCAAAAAAGGTAAACACTTTGAAATGCACATAAACAGTAAAAGACTTAGGAATGGGTACGCATGAGCATGGAGTTTATTTAGTGAGTGTAATCAGTGTAAATGATCTTTAGCTGTGTGTGTGTACAGGTAAATTTGACCAAAGTTGTATAATGCAGGTAAAAACCAAAGTTTTATAATGACATGTGTATGACATAGTTGTGCTTTATTAAGGTTGTTTACAGGGTCACACCTTGTGTGCCTCTAATTCAAAAGGCTTAAAAATCATATGATCAAATTTTGCCACAGGTTTCTTGTGAGGGTTGGGTTTAGAGATAGGGATATATCCTAAAAAGTGTATAAAATACATTACACCTGTAGAGGGTCCCTGTAAACTATGCAAACAAGTATGTGTGTGTGTCAGTCCCAACCCGGGCTCATTGTAAGGCAAGGCAAGGCAAGGCAAGTTTATTTATATAGCACATTTCATACACAATGGCAATTCAAAGTGCTTTACATAAACAAGAATAAAAGAAACAAGTAAAATAAAAATAAAAACAAATAATAAAAATGCGTAAAAACAAAACAAAACATAAAAACAGGTAAAATGTGATATAAAAGAATGAAGAAGAAGAGAAAAACATGATAGTGCAATCTGTCGGACGCAGCACAGTGCTCATTCAGTAAAGGCACAGCTAAACAGATGTGTTTCAGTCTTGATTTGAATGTGCCTAATGTTGGAAGAAACGTTGTGTAACATTGTGGAAACGTAGCCCCGCGGACGTTTCTGCGGACCGCGATTTACGTCCCGGGAGGTACGTATTCGAGCGGTTTTTGTTTTCGAGGATCCGCGAGAGGCCGCTGTACGCGCTTTTTCGTGTCTCGGGCGCCTCTCAGAAGCGCGCGCCGTTCGCACCCGCGCTGTTCTTGCGCGAAAAGCCGCCGGATCGGCCGTCTCAGCCGCCCTCCTCTTCCTCCTCCTCCTTCCCTAAACCAGAGCGACGGTTCGCAAAAGCCGTCCAGAAAAAAAAAAAAGCAAAAGCCCTCGTCTTCGATTTCGGCCGCGTTTTCGGATCCCGCTGCGTTCTCGCCCTTATTTTTCGGATTCCGTTTTTCGTCTTACCAGAATCCGCCGTTCCCCGGACTCGATCCCGGTCGTCGTCCACCGCGGCCGGCTCCTCCTCGTCCGGGGCCTCTGCGGACAAACTGATTGCATCGGGAAAGCCCTCCACTCGGAGGCGAGCCGTCGGCCGGCGAGCGCGAAGAGGAGGGGCGGAGCGGCGCCACACCGCCCCGCAGCGACGCTCGAAAAAAACTAAACGCAGCCTTTACGTACCTCCGGCCAGGTAAATCGCGGTCTCCAGAAACGTCCGCGGGGCTACGTTTCCAGAATGAGCTTGGGTTGGTCAGTCCATATTGTTCACAGTTGTAGCGAGTGTTGATTGGTGCAAAGCATCACTGTAGATTTAGTCTAGGTGAACAGCAGGTAGCATATACAGACAGCTGGAGTGCCCTGTAATAAGTTTAGTGTTAGAGGTGGAGAGACTGCTGAAGAATTATACTTAAGTAAAATTACTATTACTTGACTCAAAATGTCGTGCAAGTAGAGTAAAAGTACCTGCTGTAAATATTACTCAGAGTATGAGTAAAAAAAGTAGCCCTTTTAAAAGTACTCAAGAGTAGTGAGTGTTATGCTGATGCATATACATGTCATTTGTGGATGTGTGTGTAAACGTAACATTCTGTAGTGCATTTAGTTATAGCCCAGCAGACACACAACATCATAAGACGTTAATATTCGGTTAGATTTAGGTTGTGATGTCAGGTGACCAAAATTCAATGTCTAGCTAGTGTCTATGGACATTGTTATTTTGATGTCCATAATGATGTTGATATTTGGTTGATTTCAGGTTGTTAGGAACTGAACAAAATCCAACATTAAGCCAAAATCTTAAACCAGCGTCATATTGAAATCAAGTACTGACATTTATTCATCAGATATGGCAACTAAAATCCAACATCTGATAGACGTCATAGTGATAATGTTCACACAACTTCAAGCTTTAACATCATTAGATGTTGATATTTGGTTGATTTTAGGTTGGACGTTGGACATTGACATCAGGCTGACGTTGGGTTCTGATGTCAACCTGATTTCAAACAAAATGCAACGTTCCTACGACACTGGGGTACAACATCAAGCTGACGTCATGTTGACGTCTTGTTCCTGCTGGGTGTTTAAGGCAATTGTGGTCATCATACAGTAAACATCTGTCATCTTCTCATCAGTAACATGCATCTACACAATCTCTGGGTCAATGTGTGTAAAGATTTAGGACATCTTCTTGGGCACTTTTAATGCTTCCAAACAGCTTGCTGCAATTATAAATCACCCACGTCTTGAAGTAGTTTATCAAGATGTGGTTTACCTTCTATGTGGGATTTCATTGGACAGGAATCATAGGACTGATTATTCTAATCCCCATCGTCAAGACAAAATAAAGTAATGACTGCAGGTTGAAGGACAGTAGTGGAGTAAAATTACAGATACTGCACTAAACATGTACTCAAGGGAGAGTAAAAGTACACATTTATAAAACTACGGATTCCTGAGGAACAAATACTCAATTACAGTCATTTGAGTATTTGTAATTAGTTACTTTACACCTCTGCCCATTCTGATGCTCAGTTTGAACTGCTGCAGATTTCTGTAATTGCATCTTTAATTACCCTGTTGACCATCCCTTACACCTTAACACATCCTTAAACCCCACACCAGCAAACCTGTTGCAAACCCGACCAATATCCCACCTCAAGCACACCAGAAAAGTTATGCAATGCATTATCAACACAATAAAAACTTTGTATTTATTTCTTGATGCAAGCACACTCCCCGACGAATGCCTCTTTACCTATCCAAGTTTTAGAAACTGCAAATAATAACTGGACTTCTAGTTGATGATTTGGTGTCAGAAGTGTCTCTATGAAAGGTGAAGGCCTCTAGATTTTGCTGATTTGAGATCAATAAATCTGATCATGCCTTGATGTTGACTGATTTGATGAGGACAGTGCGGTCTGACTCTGCTCAGACTAAAGTCTCATCACTGAACAGAAATAATGTCCAGTATAGAATATAAAGTCCTGCTGCAGTGGAGACAGAATGAATATTGTGTCTGACTCCATCATGAGCTTGGAGGACTGCATCCATACATCTCTGACATGACTCACATCACTGATTAATAAAGTCATCTGGAATGAAGAAGAAAGCCTTCAGCAGGACTCCCAGAGTTCATCAAGAGTCTTTGTGTTCACCTTCAACACCTCCTTCTTCATCTTAACTCAATAATGTTCATGTCAGGTGACTGGGCGGGCCAATCCTGGAGCATCTTGACCTTCTCTGCTTTCAGGAGCTTTGATGTGGAGGCTGAAGTTTGAGCAGGAGCGCTATCCTGCTGGAGAATCGTCCCTCTCCTGTGGTTTGTAATGTAATGGGCAGCACAGATGTCTTGATACCTCAGGCTGTTGATGTTGATCATCCACTCTGCAGATCTCTCGCACGCCCCCATACTGAATGTAGACCCCAAACCATGATTTCTCCTTCACCAAACTTGACAGATTTCTATGCGAATCTTGGTCCATGCTGGTTCCAGTAGGTCTTCTGCAGTATTGGTGATGATTGGGATGCAGATCAACAGATGATTCAGCAGAGAAATCCACCTTCTGACACTTTTACACATTTGATCAACTAGAAGTCAAGTTATTATATGCTGCTCTCACAACTGAGATCCAGCACAAGACTTTTGTCAGGCAGTGTATGTATATAAAATAGGACTGAAATGAGAAACTAAATATTTTAATTTGGCAAGAACACATGAACTCTTTTCCTGCCATTGAGGATATAACCTGTCAATTAAGCGAAAACACTTCCCTGTCATTGATGTGTTTTAATGTGTATGGGTTTTAGGTGTATTATAGTAAGCGAAAGCCGTAACGTAAGTCCTGAGTGACATACAGCACTTCTGTGTATCCTGGTAATAAAAATTTAAAATGATCAGAGAAAGAGAAAGTAAGATCACGGGGAAAAATAAAGAGTTATACAACCTTGCTTTGGCTAAATCCCTAACATTACTATATCAGGAATGTTTCTTACCACATTGACAGATTATTTAGCTTGTTTTAAAACAACAAAACTCATATTATTTCTTAAAACAAGACAATCTTTTGACAAAAAAACACTATTGCAGTGTACAACCTTATTGTAAAGAGATACCCAATAAATTGCCTTAAATAGATAAACAGGTATCAGTTCTGTTGAATAGTTTTACCTCAACTCTCTTGATCTCGCCCACGTCGAGTCCGAAACACATGAAATGCTCCATCCCTCCGGCAGCGAAGCATTTCTTCCCTTCAGGCAGATCCAGCCAGAGTCGCTCGGTTTCCAGATCATTGGGTCCCATAATAATGACGTAAACCCGACTGGTGGTGCTGCCATCCCGATCGTCTCCTGTGGACACGGTGAAGTGGTACGGGATCACTGCGAAAACACAGACACTGAGCACTGTATCACACATAGAGAGCTTCAGAATGACCAATAGCTGTGTTTCCATCCAGATATGTGCATTAGATTTATATGCAAACTGTAAGTCGCATGTGAATAAACCAGTGTTTCCAGTCGATGAGGAACAAAAGAGAATCAAATCATCAGTTCCTGATAAACTGTCACAGATATCACTGAGAGATGTGGAGCTTGCTGCACTGTTGGGATTCTCCACTGTGGTGTTCGTTCTCCTCTAATGAATGAGCGCCTCAGAAGACCAAGACCAAATGCAATGAATGTGGTGAATGTGGTGGCTTCTGGAGGCGTAACACGGGAGCGCAGACTGATGCTCAAGACAGTTCTGAAGGGAGTATTTATAGAAGAAGAATAATACTGAAGCACTGTGATGATGGACTGACGGAGGGTTGAGGTCATCTCGTTATTAGTTTTACTAGATCTTAGTGCCGCATTTAACATCCTCGACCACAATATCCTCATAGACCGCTTAAAGTCTACAGGTGTCCAGGCACAGGCTCTACAATGGTTTAAGTCATACTCAGCTGACCGTTACCAGTGTGTGAATATTAATGGACAGCCTTCACCAGTCAGCCCAGTAAAGTATGGGGTGCCTCAAGGATCAGTTTTAGGCTCTTTGCTGTTTACAATATACATGCTACACTGGGAGACATTATTAGAAGACATGGGATCAGCTTTCACTGTTATGCAGATGATACTCAATTATATATTTCAACTAAACCTGACGAGAAGTCTGAACTGTCTAAACTAACTGAGTGTATTAGAGATGTTCAAGACTGAATGACCAACAATTTCCTTCTCTTAAACGCAGACAAAACAGAATTATTACTTATTGGGCCTAAATCCTGTACACAGCAGATCTCGCAACTCAATCTACAATTAGAGGGATACAGAGTTAGCGTTAGTGCTACTATAAAAGATCTGGGTGTCATATTAGACAGCAATCTAACTGTTGAACACCATATATCCCATGTCACAAAAACTGCCGTCTTTCATCTGAGAAATATCGCTAAATTACGAAGTATGCTCTCCATCTCAGATGCAGAAAAGCTAGTCCATGCTTTTATGAGCTCTATGCTGGATTACTGTAATGCTCTATTTGCTGGCTGCCCAGCATCCTCTTTTAACAAACTTCATGTAGTAAAAAACGCAGCAGCCAGAGTTCTGACCAGCTCTAGAAAATATGATCATATCAGCCCAATGTTCTCCTCCTTACACTGGCTGCCTGTTCAGTTTCGTATTGAATTTAAAATATTACTCCTCACCTATAAAGCTTTAAATAATCAAGCTCCTGTTTACTTAAACAACCTTCTGTCTCGCTACAATCCAACCCGCTCTTAAAGAGCTCAAAACTCAGGGCTTCTGCTAGTACCTAGAATAGCAAAGTCCACTAAAGGAGGTCGAGCCTTCTCATTTATGGCTCCTACACTCTGGAATAGCCTTCCTGATAATGTCCGAGGCTCAGACACACTCTCCTAGTTCAAAACTAGATTAAAGACCTATCTGTTTAGTAAAGCATACACTGTTAACCCTTACTGTAGATTATGCAGTAAATAACTGTAAAATAGCCAGTGTTTTGCTGTAATAAAAGGAAACAGTATTTTACTGTAAAAGAAGCAGCATTTGTATGAAATTTTGTAGTGCAAAGAATAAATTACAGTAATTTACTTTATGTATCCATTACAGATAGTTACTGTAATAATAAATGGTAAATTACTGCTCAACCATTATTACCCCATGTACTCTGATGCTTTATGTTGCTATATATATATATATATATATATATATATATACTGTTCAGTTTTGGTATGTGAATGGTCAGTATTGAGGAGAAAGTGAGACAATGCATTGATGATAAGCTAAATTTCTCTGCAGACATCTTTGTGTTTTCTTTGGTTCCTTTTATGTTTTTAACATTGAGTATCAGGAGTCAACCAATGTCAATGTCACAGAGCTAATTAAAAGGTAAAGATATCGACGAGATGCATTTAAAGGCAAAAATATTCACACAGAGCAACCAAATTATCACAATCATTTTTATAACTTTGTTTACTTTTCTATAATTAATCTAATTTACTTAGTTTAGCCTTACTTAAATTGCACTTTAAGCTGAATATTAGTATTTTGCTAAATAACTAGTAAAAATGTGTTATTTAAAAAATATCTTAAACAGCACGTACATACATTTTTGCAGAGACTCAATTAATTTGTCTGGAAAACTTCAAATGAAGTAGGTAAAAGTGGCATTAACAGTATAGTATAAAGACTTTCCTAAATAAATGTATTAATCAGGTTATTTTATTTATTTATTTATTTTTATTACTACAGGTTTGGAACAACATGTGGATCAGATTATTTATTATTATTATTATTATTATTTATTTATTTATTTTTTGCTTTGGATGAAGTTTTTATATTTTTATTGTTTTTATTCAATGATATGTGCATGATTGTGATAAATGTAGGCAGTTCCTTTGAAAATATGCTATGTACCAGGGATGTCAAACTCCTGAAGGGCCACAGCCCACCAGAATTTAGTTCCAGCCCTGCTTCAACACACTACCTTTAGATTTAGTTTGATCAGGTGTGTTTAATTAGTATAACTGCACTGTTAATCTGTAGATTGTGTAGTAAATAACTGTAAAAAACAATGATTTAGGCATCACCACACACTCCCACAGGCTGTCCGTCTTATTCTAAACACAAAGGTGTTAGAAAGAGTTTTCAGAAAATGCCGGCCCTTCAAGGGAGCCAGGTGTTTGATTTGTTTACTGCTGATTGTGCTCTATGCTATGTCCATCAATTCAGATGTAGAGTCTGTTATGTTTTAGGCTTTAAATAAGAATCTACAATGAGTAAGTAAAATGTGTTCAAATGTTTTTGAGGGTTTCTAAAATAAGGCTGTGTTTTAAGTTATACTGTTGTTATCTTGAACTGTGTACTTGAAAGCTACATTGTTAGCTAGTTAGCCTCTCCTCATATAACTTCTTACATTACTTTTGTTTAAGTACAGTATATGTATTTATTGGATATTGCATACTGCCATAATGTACAGATGCTAACAGTTGTATGTATCTGGCAACTAAGCCAAAATTAAATTCTATTATCTCAGTAAGGTAACATGTGCACATCATTACAGGGAATCACAAAAACATGGTACACATAGCCATCCACACACAAAAGCTCCCCTGTCCGGTCCCAGGTTGTGAGTTTGTTGCAAAAGTATTTTTCAGAGCAGTGTTTCCACCTATGAATTTATATTACAAACAATAAAAAAGTTTGTTGTCATGAGATACTTATAATAATAAAAGATTTTATCCTTTGGTTTTTCATTGTTGCCAACTTTATTTTTGTTTCCTACAATTAATTTAAACTTTTTATTGAGATTTGACACAGTTTTTAATTATTTAAAACTTTAAAATTTAAAATATTTATTTTGTGTTTTTTGCTGTTCAGTTTTTTTTTTTTTTTTTTTTTGCATGGTCAGCATTGAGGAGAGAGTAACACATTTCACTGCAGCACTTTGTGTGTGTGTGTTTATTGGATATGTGATTGTGATAAATGTTGGCAGTTGCTTTAAAAGTATTACTAATACCAGGGGTTCTTAATCCTGTTCCTGGAGATCTACCTTCCTGCAGATTTCAGTTGCTATCCATATCAAACACACCTAAACCAATTAATTAGGACCTGAACACCACTTGATAATTACAGGCAGGTGTGTTTGATATGGGTAGCAACTGAAATCTGCAGGAACATAGATCTCCAGGAACAGGATTGAGCACCCCTGCTATATACCATGGGGGTCAAACTCCAAGTTCCTGGAGAACTGCAGCGCAGCAGAGTTTAGAATCCACCCTGCTTCAACATTACCTGTAGAATTCTAACAAGCCCTAATTAGTTTGATCAGGTGTGTTTAATTAGAGTTACAGCTTAAAGTCCCGGTCACACTGCACTTTTCTCCCTATAGACTTCCATTCATAAGCATGTGAGTACTGCAGACCTGGAATGATAGCTCACGAGACAAATTTCATAATTCGCAGCATTGGAAAGTTCAAGCTTGGAGAACGCTGAACGCGAAATCACATCATGTGATTGCTTGAGAGACCAATCAAAGATCAAAACATGACCTCTCTGGCTTGCTTTTTCAATTTCTAATTATTTTGTTTAATTCCACTACTCACTTTGTTTAATTCCACTTCGCAGTGCAGAATATAGCATGCTTAAACATTAGTGTGACCGCAGCCTTACTGTGCAGACCTGTAATATGTAAGACAATATTTATATCTGCTGATTTTTTAATTTTGTTAAACATTTTCTGTTATTTATTTGTTTGGTGCCAAAACAATAAAATTAATTTGTCTGAAAAAAATCATATTACATACTATTAATGTGTATGTATTATAATGCTGTGATTTGTAACACTACAATACAGTAATTAACTCTACACAGTTTCCAGTTAGTTACCACTGCTGCTCTATTACAGTAATTAACTGGCAACACTGTTGCCAGCTACTCACTGTATTGGTTCAGTTACAGTAAATAACTGGCAACACTGTTGCCAGTTACTTACTGTAACCGAACTTTTACAGTGAGTAGCTGGCAACAGTGTTGCCAGTATTCTACTGTAAAAAACCCTGGTAAGGTCTAACAGTGTACACTCAGTGCATCACACAGCGGTATGATACATGAATGTGCTCCACACATCTCGTTTATATACACTATGAACAGCAGCTACGCTAATTATTCTCTTTATTCTCTATTTCCACCTAGGGATACTCATCCCAAGGCCCTCAGACTATGCAGCGCCACTGATTTGATCCAAGACCAGCAACGAGATGATCCCAAGGTTTCCACAATCCTGGACCAGGCCGTATCCTGAGCAGCTGCTGTGGTGGTCATGGAGGAGAGGAGACGCTCCGGAGACAGATGAGTCTTCGCTGATGTCCAGCTTCTCCAGCGCCTAGACTGCAGCTCTGCACAAGACGTTTGGCCAGAGGGGAAATGGTCGTGCCCAACTGAGCCTCTTTTCTCTCCAGGTTTTTTAATTCTTCACTTTCGCCGATTGGTGAAGTTTTTACCTTGCGGCTGTCGCCACTGGCTTGCATCGTTCGGATCTGTAGAGCTGCGCATTGATGGATTTACTCTTAAGTGTTTGGACTCTCAGTAGTGATTATTAAACCACACTGAACTGAACTAAACTGAACCTAACTTAAACTCTGAATACTGAACAACACTGTTTACATTCACTATGATCTTCTATGTGAAGCTGCTTTGACACAATCTACATTGTAAAAGCGCTGTACAAATAAAGCTGAATTGAATTGAATTTTACAATCAGCACAACAACATTTCAGATCTGCAACAATTAAAAGCTGGAAACATGGAGAACTGCAGACCAACACTAATGATGCAAAGAAGCACACATTTATATCTGACAGGCATATGAGAGAAAACAGCAGCACCGAATCAAGCGCAGGCACAGCACACTTTACTCACTAAATGTCGAAGCGATCTTAGAATTGAGTGAAGAATGGTGGTTTATCTCGTGAGTGTTATCTTTAATTAAGCATGTGTTTGTTTGTTTGGATTCATTTCTGCTAGTCTGAAGGAATTATTTGTGAGTTATCCAAGTGAAAGATAAGTTTGCTAGTCTGAAAAAAGGTATTATTTTGTGAGTTGTGTTTGCATTAAGTTTGCTTCGTCAGAAGGAAGTATTTGTTCACCTATTGAAATAAAATATCATTTCAACTGTAGCTGCACTTATATGCAGTTTAAAGCAAACAAAATAAAAACGCTCGCTTCTCCTTACTCTAGCACTTAATTCTCTGAGAGTTCCTTTGTGTCATAAGCACTTCTTGTGCAGTTGAAGTCAGAATAATTAGCCATCCTGCATACTTTTTTCCCAATTTCTGTTTAACAGAGAGATTTTCTTCAACACATTTGAACACATAATAGTGTTAATAACTCATCTCTAATAACTGATTCTCTTCACCATGATGACAGTAAATAATATTAAACTAGATATTCTTCAAGACACTTCTATACAGCTTAAAGTGACATGTAAAGGCTTCACTAGGGTAATTAGGGTAAAGTTAGGGTAATTAGGCAAGTCATTGTATAACAGTGGTTTGTTCTGGAGACAATCCAACACTAATATTGCTGAAGGGGCAAATAATATTGACCTTAAAATGGCTTTAAAACAATTAAAACTGCTTTTATTCAAGCCGAAATAAAACAAATAAAACTTTCTCCAGAAGAACAAATATTAGAGGAAATACTGTGAGAAATTCCTGAATCTGCTCAACATCATTTGGGAAAAATTTCGACTTTGTGTATTGCCTCAAATTGTAAGTCGCTTTGGACAAATGCGTCTGCTATATTCATTCATTCATTAATTTTCTTGTTGGCTTAGTCCCTTTATTAATCCAGGGTCGCCACAGTGGAATGAACCGCCAACTTATCCAGCACGTTTTTACGCAGCGGATGCCCTTCCAGCCACAACCCATCTCTGGGAAACAACCATACGCACTCATTCACACTCATACACTATGGAGAATTTAGCCGAGCCAATTCACCTGAACCACCTTCTTGCTGTGAGGCGACAGCACCACCTACTGCGCCACTGCGTCGCCTGTCTGCTATATGACTAAATGTAAATGTAATTGAAGCCTTTGTGCATTTTTTTTTCATACCAAATAAACAGTTGATCCTACTCAGCTGTGCACATATGTTTTATGCATATTTTAACATATTATGTGCATTTTGGCCTTTCCATTAAGCATTTTTTGATGAGATATTCCAAAATGCACATATAAATAGGTGGATGGAAACACAGTGAAGAGCTGAGCTTCATCTTACTGGGACCCTCCTCCATTATTACAGCCTTCTTCTTCTTCTTCTTCTTGTTCATGTTGCTGTCCAGACCGGCTTTGGAGTTCTGCAGGGTCTTCTTGGCGTTCAGAGGATTCCTCTCACCCTCGTATCCCTGATATACAGCAGAATATACAATACACATCTCACTTACTCAGTATTTCTGCATTGTATTTCAACAAAAACAGAGTTTTTGTCTTGTTTCTAGTCCAAATGTTTGAACATTCTTAAAATCAAGAAGCATTTTCCTAGATGAGCAAAAAATACAGTCTTGTTTTCAGAGATGATGTGTCAAATTTAAGTGAGTTTTGCCTTAAAACAGGCTAAATATTAACAAAGTTATTTTTAATAAGTGAATAATAAGTTGAATTATAATTTAATCATAAGGTAAACAGGAAAATGTTTGTCACCTTGACGTAGAAAGTTCTATCGATGCGCATGTCCTCTTTCTTCTTGGAGAGCCAGCGTTCACACAGGAACATGAAAACCTCGTCCGTGTCCACATTCACCACCTCCACCTGATCCAGGTACCAGTCGGCTCCGGCCAGAGAATTATCATGGCGGATGCGGATCTTAAACACTGGACCCAGATCCACAGCTTCAATGCTGAACTTGTCCACCTGCACACAAACAACTGCTTCAAATCTGCAGATGCGAATTGCAAAAGAAAAGTGCAGCAAATGTATTGTTTTTATTTTAGTGGATAAACATAAAGAGCCAAATCTGCAAAATAAAAATAATAACATGCATAAAAAACATTACATACTGATATATATATATATATATATATAAATATAATTTTTTTATGCATTTATTTATTTATAAATACATGTAAAAATAGAAAAAATATGAAATGTACTGTATGTATACACAAGTGATTTATAACTTATAAAGCAGATATACTTTTTTTTTCTTAATCGCAAATTATCTTTTATTTCAATTACTATTTTCTGCAAGTATTTTTCATTTATTTATTTATTTGTTTGTTTTTTAATTTATTTATTTATTGTGTTTTTTATTCTCATATTCATTTATTTACTACTGCATTTATTTATTTGTGTGTTTTATATGTATTTATCTATGTGTCTTTTATTCTTAATCTTTTATTTATTTAACACAGCATTTATTTATTTATTTATTTATTTATTTATTTATTTATTTATGCCTGAATAAACAAATTTAACAATAAAAAATAAATAAAGAAATATAACCTAATAAAGCATATATGTATTATTTTTCTTTAACCCTAAATTATTTTATTTATATTATACTATTTCTCTGAATTTATTTTACATATATATTTTATAATTTTAAACTTTAATTAATTTATTAATTAATTTATTTGATTTTTTTGTGTGTCTTTAATTCGTATATTCATTTATTACTGCATTTATTTATTTATTTTTTATTTCTGTGTTTTTTTGTTTCAAAACTTACATTTATTTATTTATTTAACACTGCATTTATTTATTTATTTATTTTCATGTTCATTTATTTTTGCTAGGTTTTCTTTTTAGTTTTTAGTCTTTAACATGGAAAAGAGGGAGTATAACTAGTAATTATTTTGTACTGTCATGAATAAGACAAAAAAATTAGTTATAATAACTATTATGTTAAAATAACTTATATTTATTGTTTTATTTTTGCAGGTTTAATCTTCAATGGATAAAAGGAGCATTGCAGTCAAATAGATTTTTAGCAGATGTGTATATTTGGTTGTGAGATAAATAAATGAATGCACTGCAAAAGTAAGAGCTTTTAGTTTTGTTTCTAGTCCAAATATCTGATATTTCTTAAATCAATAATCATTTTCTAGACAAACAAAAAAAGTTCAAATAAAGTTTTATTATGTTATTTTTCTTTAAAACCAGCAAAATAATCTGTCAATGGGGGACGTAAAATAATCAATTATATGTTTGCTTATTTTAAGGGAAAAAATCCCTTCATTTTGACTCATTACTTCTTAATACAAGATAATATGTTTTGCTTGTCTAGAAAATGCTTCTTGATTTCAGAATTTGTAGATATCTGGACTAGAAACCTAAACTCTAAATAAGAACAGCATGTTTTACAGTGTGTAATGTGCAGACTCACTGCTCCTTTCTCAAACTTGTTTTTGCTGCTCTCGGATTTGCTGAGTTTTCTTTCTCCGGTGTCTCCCAGTTCCCCGTAAATAGTCAGAAATACGTTGGCATCAGTTCCAGCTCCGTGCATGTCTCCCGTCCGCACAGACACCTTATATGTGTGAGCTGAAGATCCAATGAACACACATATGCAAGCACACACACGTACACACACAGACACATGCTAAGATGAACAGCAGAGATCAACAAAAGTCTTGTATTTGAGCTAATGCTGATGTTGTTAACTAAATCGGTCATACTTTAAATAAGTGAGTACACTCATTGATTTAAAAACAACAGATTGATTTTACTTTTAAAAAAATCAGTAAACCCATTGGCTTAACTTGCATATAGTTTGTTTACTTGAAGGGTCACGAAACACCAAAACACATGTGTTGAGCTGTTGACAGTTACATGTGTGTCCCACGCTGCTATAAACACTATTAGGACACTTATATTTCATTAACAAGAGAAAATTGGTTATTTTTGCGTTATTCCAATTAATTTTTGAAGCTGCGTCATGCTGATTAGAGCCTTGTCATCCAGCTCGGAGACTGGATGTCTGTACCGGCGAGCACAACGTCACAGCATTAATTCTTGAGAAAGACTTGATTTAAACCAATCAGCACGCTCTATTGTAAATGCAGTACAGCTTCATTAATATGCATGATAGCTTCAAGACTGTTTGTACCTGTTAAGGCTGATTTATACTTCTGCATCAAGCGTACGCATATGCAGCCTACGCATGGACGCAAAGCTCTCGCTGACGCGCACCTCTCAAAAAATGTAACAATGCAAAATGCAAGCTCTGTGATTGGTCGGCTTGGTAGCGCTGACGAGTGTGGGCGGGAGCGAGAGCTGTGCGAGCCCGATGAAGCAAGTGTTTACAAGTGTGGAGTCCTGTGAAGGAGCTCCGGATGGAAAGTTTTGTTTTGTGTTTACCTCATAGTTAAAGTTGCTGCACGTCCGCTGGTTCCTGCCTCAAAATGAGCGAATTTGAACCAATTGTACATTTAGGAAGGTGTTCAGAAAAAACAAAACACCAGTGAAGAAATTCGACACAGAGGAACATTTACACCTCACTGCCAGCTAGCGTTTCGGAAGTGTTAATGCAGAGCAACAGAAACAGCATGCAGAAGTATGAATGCACAGCTAAGCGCATTGCATGCACCGTGGGTCACGCCAATCACTTGACGCAGAAGTATAAACCAGGTTTTATAGTATTCAGACGGCAGAGAGATGCCATGTTGTGTTGCCAAAACAAGTGGAAGAAGAAGGATCATTCAGAAACATGGGTCTTCAGTGTGGCGTTTATAAATGTGCTGCAGTGAAGGTTTTGTTTTTATTTCCCACTATGAGAGCGCAGCTGGACACACATGTGGATTACAGTGGTCTGCTAACACGCAATACAGACAGAAATACGTTAGAAACATTTTCTACCCAAGAGCTTTTCGCACATGGAAATGGTGAAATCCGGATTTGCCACTCGTCTCCTTTTAATAAAGACGCGGCTCCAGTAGGTGTTGATTGTCCTGTCTCTACAGATTTGGAACAGTCAGTGTGTGTGATCAGTGCTCTTTGTTTATTTATTCAATAGTAACGTTGGTTCGTATCGTCAGCAGAATTCTTTCAGTGGTTAAAGACAGACTTTAGTCAGAATGATTGAGTTACTCAGTTTACAGTATGTTAAAGGGTCACGAAACACCAAAACACATGTGTTGAGCTGTTGACAGTCGTATATGTGTCCCACACTGCTTAAAACACTATTAGGACACCTATATTTCACTAGAAAGTCCAAAGGACTACTGACCCATTCTGGAGGACCATGTGACCCAATGAGTCAAACATTGCATTCTGAAGGCGGTGGTGTGTACCAGGATGATAATGCAGCAACACACAGAGCAGAACTGGAGGCAGAGTGCTTTGATGAACATGAAAGTGAAGCTAAACACCTCCAATGACCAGCACAGTACCCAGAGTAAACTTTATTGAGCACTTTAGTGTGTTTTGGAGGAGCGAGTAAGGACAGGTTTTCCTCCAGCAGCATCAGAGAGACCTGAACACTATTCTGAAGAAGAACGGCTCAGAATCCCTCTGGCCGATGTGCAGGACTTGTATCTGTCATTTCCAACACCAATGGTCTATAAGCTCAGCTCGTGTGTTTCAACCAATGATAAACTTCAGGTACTTCTAGGTGACTATTTTCAACATCATATGGTTCCTTTCTGAGCATCGATGTTGTAATGTCACTAAAATATAATCAGTTCACTAGACTTGAGCATTCATTTAGTTGTTCAAGCGTAAAACGAGATGAAAGACCATGTAGGTGCAAGCGCCATCAGGAGCAGCAGGCTAGCGCAGAAACTCCATTGAAAATACTGGGGTAAAATACATTAAAATACTTTTAAATCGTGGCATGAAAAAAGGAATTTAATGCAGCGCTGTCTTCCGGTCTGAGACCCACTTCATATCATATATCAATCAGGGAGTGAAGATCACTGACTTTGTTTAAACGTGGCGATTTTGTAATGGTGCAACACACTGAAATTGTTCAAACTATTAATATGGGCTAAAATAAACAACCGAATGAAATTTAGCAATGTTCAACAGAAGGGCTTGGGTTGGCTGACTTAAAACTAAAGGTCTGTGTGCATATACCACAACGATGCTGTATTGGCTGCAAAATGAAGCCCTGCACTATACTAATGCATTACTGTCTGTCTAAAAAAGCAGGTGTTTAAGTTGAATTCTCCAACCGCTGTGTGTTGAATGTCACACATACTCTCCAGAGCGTCCTCCACCTCGATCTCGTTGTGTTTGAGCGTCCCGTCTCTCAGCAGTTTCTCTGTGATGATGTCTGACGGCACCAGCTCTCGCACCGTCTCTCCATCGTCCTCGGATTTGGCCAGCCAGCGCTCGCAAGGGAAAATGGTCGTCTCTGAACCCTTCACAACAACACGAATCAACAGAATTTACATTTACATTTAGTCTTTAAGCAGATGCTTTTATCCAAAGCGACTTACAAATGAGGACAAGGAAGCAATTTACACAACTATAAGAGCAACAATGAAGAAGTACAGTAGGCAAGTTTCAGGTGTGTAAAGTGTAAGAAGCAAAACATTAGTCATTTATTGTTATATATATTTTTTTGTAGTGCAGTTAGTGGTGGAGCCAGAGAGGCAATTGCAGATTCGGAAGGGAAGTGGAGACTAAATAGTTGAGTTTTTAGTGGTTTCTTGAAGACAGCGAGTGACTCTGCCGTTCTGATGCAGTTAGGGAGTTCATCCCACCAACTGGGCAGATTGAATGCGAGAGATCGGGAAAGTGATTTCTTCCCTCTTTGGGATGGAACCACGAGGCGACGTTCATTCACAGAACGCAAGTTTCTGTAGGGCACATACATCTGCAGAAGTGAGAGCAGATAAGAAGGAGCAAAGCCAGAAGTCGCTTTGTAAGCAAACATCAGAGCTTTGAATTTAATGCGAGCAGCAACTGGCAGCCAGTGCAAACGGATGAGCAGCGGAGTGACATGTGCTCTTTTAGGTTCATTAAAGACCACTCGTGCTGCTGCATTCTGAAGCAGCTGAAGAGGTTTGATAGAGTTAGCTGGAAGCCCGGCTAGTAGAGAGTTGCAGTAATCCAGTCTGGAGAGAACAAGAGCTTGAACAAGGAGTTGAGCTGCATGTTCAGATAGGAAGGGTCGGACCTTTCTGATAGAGTGTGAATCTGCAAGATCGAGCAGTTCTAGAGATGTGGTAATAGAGAAGGTTAGCTGGTCATCAATCGTGACTCCAAGGCTTTTCACCATTTTGGATGCAGTAATGGTTGCCCCGTCCATCTGGATTAAAAAGTTGTGATGAAGAATCGGGTTGGCAGAAACTACAAGCATTTCTGTTTTCGCGAGGTTAAGCTGAAGATGATGAACTTTCATCCAGTGATCACCATTACAGAAAACAAATATTGCTCATAAGGGCTAATAATATTGACCATAAAATTGTTATATAAAAAATAAAAAACTGCTTTTATTCTAGCTGATGCACCGTTTGAATACCTTTCCTTTTCTCAGCAGCCTCCTGATCTCCACGCGGTCCAGATGCCAGCCGGGGTTCGTGCCCTGGTTTTCGTGCCCTATGCGGATCTTTTCCAGGATGTCTCCAACATCCTCCAGCTGCACACAGAGATAGAGAGAATCGTTTAGCGAGTGTGTTTAATGCAATAATGCTGAAATAACTGGTCGGTGAAAAAAAAACTGATTCTAATTTTAATACTAACAAATTGAGCTGATGATTTTTACTAGCAAATACAATTTTTTTTTATTAAATGGGAGTTGCTGTCGGACTTCCATATTAAACTAAAATATTTAGTGTTGCATGAACATGATTTTCCATGGACCATTCAGATTCAGGGTTTTTTCCCTAGAAAAAGAACAGATTCCGATACCTCTTATTACTAGCAAATTGGACGTTTTTGATTGTTTTTTATTAGCAAACTGGCCAATTTTAAGTTCTTATATTAGCAAATTGACCAATTCAGATTTTACTAGCACATTCGGTAACACTTTTTAATAACTACACACTCTGAATCATTTATTAAGCATGAGCAGATAGTGAACTCATTATCTATTCAGCATTAACTCTACATTAATAAACGTTAGTGTGCAGTTTATAACTGCAGCTACAAATGCTGTATTACTGACTTATAAACACATTTAAAATGTGCTTAATAACTGTGCTTTCATACTTTGTTAATGATTTGTTTTTCATTACTAAATGAAGTATGGCATTATTTACAAACCATCTACATTTAAGAGTAATCAGTGGGCTTTAAATATGATTCAGAATGAGTCAGTAAATGATTAAAATAATGAAATTAACATTTACAATTCTTATGATTCAGGCATATACTAATAGTTAATTTGTATGTTAATAAATGCTTTATTAACTCAACTTCATCCAGTGTTGTGAGCTAATCTAAAGTGAGGACTGTTGATGCTTTATAAATCCCTTATAAATGACAATTATAAGCGTATTTTGACATAAAGTAAGTTTACTTTTACTTTTGCTCTCGAGGATAGGGAAACCTTACCGTACAGACATCAATTAGCCTATTAATAATTAATTTCGTTTGTTAAGCGCAAAGATTTGTTTCAAAACTGTTTCTAAATTCAGTTCTAATCTCCAGCAAACGAATAAATGAATAATAATAACCAAGTCTGGTCAAAATACTGAGTTATATCCAAATACACCTGCTGTGCCCCATATGGTCTAAAACCTGACAGGTGGACAAATCTAAGCTTGTTTTTAATAAAACAAATATAAATATGGATATAATAAATAACACTGCTAATAATAATAACATTGTACAAAAGCAAATTGAATGAACTGAAAAAGCCTCCCGAGATGAAGAAAGTAAGGCAGTGGTTTTTAAATTAATGTAGGCTAGAAATTAATATGTTTTGTAATATTTTAATCATTTATATTTATATCCTGTATATATCCTTATATATATATATATATTTTTTTTTTTTATTTTTTTTTTTTCATATGTAAAGATATTTGTATATTGCTCTGCATCTTGTGTGTAGTGTGTAAGCCAGGCGCACTTTGCACCAGACAATAGACCGACTTTGTTCTGGTCTAAAGATCAGACTATTTACAGTTTCTACAGCTTCTTTCTTCTTTTTTAGAGCAGAACACCTATGGGCGCACATTTGAGCGCAAATGCATTTGCATATTTAAACAGTGTGGCGCAACACATCAAAATGACCCTTGCTCCGAGCTTATAGTAGCAAATAAGCATTGCGCCGCGCCTTGCGCCACATTGCGCCGGGTGTATGATAGGGCCCTAAATGTGACCACTCAGTGGGTTATGTCACGTGACTCGCGTCACAATATTGTGGCTTTGAGGCTCTATGGGATTCGAATTACTGGCCAGTTATTTAAAATTACACTTTATTACAATAATATAATATAAATATATTATATTAATTATATAATAAATATATATTGTATAATATTAAATTACATCAAATAATTAAAACGACAAATTGTGGACCTTTTGGCTGTCGTTCGAACCACCCGAACCCCCCCCCCCCAGTCTACCCCATTTTTTTTTTATTAGCAAACTGTCTGATTTCAATTTAATTCTACCAAATTGGCAAATTCCAATTTTTTTTATTAGTAAATTGGGCGATACCGATTTTCTTTCATAAGCAAATTGACAGAATGCGATTTTTTTTTCTAGCAAAATGGACATTTACAATATTTTTTTATTGGCATATAAATATTTTATTTTATATTGGCAAATTTGCCAATTCCGATAAAGTTTTTTTATTAGCAAACTGGCCGATTCTTATTCAGATTTTATAACTAGCAAATTGGCTGAATTTGATTTATTTTACTACACTGAAAAAATTGTTGCATGCAAAACTGTTGCAAGCTATTTATTTGTGTTGAATTTAAACAAACAAATTAAATTTAATAAAGTTCAACTTAATTTGTTTGAATTCAGCCCAAACAAATTGTTTACAACCACTTAACGTAAAAAAAATTGAGTAAATCAAAGAAATCATCTTTGAATAATTTTTTTCAGTGTAGAATATTGGCTGGTTCATATTTCCATTTTTTAATGTTCTACTTTGCATAAAGCACTATAGATGTAAAGGTGATGTGTGGATGCTGACCTCCACGATGAACATGTCATCTGCTGCTCTCTCGAAGTACAGCCGTCGCTCTCTCTTGTTCACACACAGGTATTTCTGCTGCGTGCACACACCGTTCTGACCGTACAGAGTGATAAACACGTTAGCATCCGTCCCCGCCGCGAACACATCGCTAGTGAAGGTGCTGATCTCATAGGGGACGACTGCAGGACAAACACAAACACATTCACACAGCTAAATCATCTATACACTGCCAAAAAGGTTTAATCACTTATATACCTACTTTTTGTGTCATTTTCCAGTACAACAAGTACACTTAAATCAAGATACAGTGGGGGAAATAAGTATTGAACACGTCACCATTTTTCTCAGAAAACGTATTCCTAAAGGTGCTGTTGACTTAAAATTTTCTCCAGATGTTGGTAACAACCAAAGAAATACATATATGCTGTCATGATCACCAGCGATCAAACCACCAGAGATCGCTGGAAAACATTCACATACACATAGGACTACAAATCTGCTTGTAAATGGACTACATATTTAGTCATGCAACACACACAACCGGTTCCAGATCCTGACTGATTGCATACACACAGCTGATGCTGCTCAAGTACTGATTACACACATACATATACAGCTCACTTTGAGACACTCATTGCTGAGTCTTGCTATCTGTTAGTGACATTACAACGTTTCCTTTGTCTGCCTTTGCTGTGTTTTTGATCCTTGCCTCGTTTATTTGTTTAAATCTGTTTGCTGCCTTTGTAGAACAGCGAATGAATCGAACAAGTTCAAGCTACAGAAATTTGATGTGATATTTAAAATATAACATTTTTGTACCTTAACCTTGTTCCACTCGTAAAAAGTTTTACAAAAGTTTCACTGGTAGAGAAACTCTAAACAACGGCTCTGTAAAGTGTGAGTTAATATATTAGTTAAGTGTTGGTTATTAGCTTTAGTATGTTATTGGGACGTTATTTTAAAGTTGCAACTATTCCTTATTTACAAACAGGTAATAAATGAAGAATAATTGCAACTTTAGAATAACGTCCCAATAACATATATAAACTATTAACTGATAATTTATTAGGTATAGTTATAAATATAACTAATAAGTCTTTAGTACGTGATTTACTAACAGCTTGTTCATGATCTATTAATAATTTATTAGGTATAGTTATAAATAATTAAAATAACCGGTCATTTATAACTAAATATTTAACAGCTTGTAAGTTATCTATTGGCTATCTATTAGGCACATTTATAAATAATTAACAAACTTAACTTTTATTTAACTAATCATTTATAACTTATTAACTAACAGTTTATTGTTGGGCTATTAACTAGTTATAACGGTTAGTTATAAATAATTAACAAACTATTACCTTTTATTTAATAAGTCATTTATAACCCATTAACTAACAGTTTATTAATGGACTATTAACTAGTTTTAATGGATAGTTATTCTAAAGTGTTACCGGCTTTTTAAATGAATTATTATTTAAAATAAGGCTGTTTTATAGTGGATATTACAGTGGATAACTTTTTTATTTAGTAAATAATGTCTTTTCTATACTATTTGCATCAAATAATAATAAAAAAATCACTTGTGTGAGGTGTGTGTGTCGTGCTGTATATATGGAGGAATGGACAGTAATGCTGTGTTCACACCAGACGCGGAACGCACGGATAAATCGCGCTATTCGCGCGTAATTAGCCGCGTGAACATTTGAGTTTACTCGCTTCATTTGCGCGTCAAACCCCACTTCATTCGCGTGTCAAATTCACTTCAGAACAGACGCGGATTCGCGTGATGGGCAGGGCTTCTGTCTGCCCGAAGACTCTAGCTTCATAGCTAAATGGCTAACATGGATTTTATGAAGACAATAACAGTGTTAATGTGCTTCATGAAGACTGAAAAACAGCGTAGATACGTTTAGGGTCGTGTCTGAGTCCACTAGATTCTTTCAGAGGTGCATCCAGCTCTGTGAGCTCATAAACTCGTCCAGAAACTGAACCTGGATGATGGAGGCTTACAGCGGTGCCTCTGACTGAGCCAAGCCCAGTTTGATGAACTGTTGTCGGTGAAGGCTGGAGGATTTCCCTCGGAACACCGACAACAGGTTCTACATCACAATCACGGCCCAACAAGAGCAAGCTTCTGATTGGTTAACGCGGCGAGAATGTACGCTGAAGTTTTATCCGCGCGTTCCGAGTCTGGTGTGAACACAGCATTCGAAATCGAGAGATTCTCGCGAAACGCTCGTTAAGCGCATCAAATGCGCAAAACGTTCAAATCGTCGCGCGCCATTCGCACGTATCGAGCCGCAGGATGTCTATTCGCGCGTTTGCATTGACTTAACATGTAAATCACTCGCGTTTGATGCGCGTTCCGAGTCTGGTGTGAACACAGCATTCGAAATCGAGAGATTCTCGCGAAACGCTCGTTAAGCGCATCAAATGCGCAAAACGTTCAAATCGCTGCACGCCATTCGTGCGTATCGAGCCGCAGGATGTCTATTCGCGCGTTTGCATTGACTTAACATGTAAATCACTCGCGCTTGATGCGCGTTCCGCGTCTGGTGTGAACGCAGCATGAATCTGACATGATTCTCTCTTCAGGCTGCCGTTATCAGTCTCACACGAGTGTTTTCCCTTTTCTGAAAGTCTTGATAACACCATCCTGGAGTTTTAATGTCATTGTTTTAGCAAATAGGATTGTGTAATAATGATTTGTTGTCCTCTCCCATTCACTGGCTCTCAGTTTACACACTATGACCACTTCTGCTGCTGAGAAACACGCGCATGTGAAAAGGTTCCATAGTGTTTAATGGAGATAAGCGATGGATAAAGGCATTGTTCCTCATCTCACATGGTGTGTAGAGTTCTGTCTGCAGCTCTGCAGGATACAGATCTCTGATAATCGCGCCATCATCCTCTCCCCTATCCAGCCAGCGTCCGCAGGGGAAACGAAGCCTCTGTCCTTGAGAAGGAGCGTCGATCTCCACCCAGTCCAGAAACCAGCCGGACGAACCTCCTGCAGAAAACACACACACAAAACACGGACCATTTAACCCTCCTGCTGACGTATGGGTCCAACATGAGCAAGGACATGTCTGAAGGATATTTTGTTCTTCTGGAGAAAGTCTTGTTTGTTTTATTTTGGCTAGAATAAAAGCAGTTTTTAATAGTTTTAAACCCATTTTAAGGTCAATATTATTAGCCCCCTTCAGCAATATTAGTGTTGGATTGTCTCCAGAACAAACCACTGTTATACAATGACTTGCCTAATTACCCTAGTGAAGCCTTTACATGTCACTTTAAGCTGAACACTAGTGTCTTGAAGAGTTATCATGGCAAAGAGAAAAAACTTCAGTTATTAAAACATTTCTAATCATAATAGTATTGATAACTCATTTAAAACCTTTATGCTTAGAAATGTGCTGAAGAAATCTACTCTCTGTTAATGAGAAATCGGGGGACAAATAAACAGGAGGAGAATATTTCTGACTTCAGCTGTATGTACAGAGTAGGGCTCTATGATATTACAAAAATCTTTCTTTCCTATATTTTGTATTTCTGTGATATATATTGCATTATATATACACAACTTCACCAGATTACTTGAATAGATCTATTTGGAAATAATTTATTAATTTTATTAATAGATTGGGATGATTCTGTACTGGGGTCTATTCTTCGTACCTCACTTAAATGATCTAAGATGATTTGGCAGATCCTGGATCTGTTAATCTTGATAACTGATCTCTCGCTAATTTGGTTCTTCAAACAAGTTTGTGAATCAGATTAAAATGTCTGGATGAACTGATCTGAGATCGCTGCGTGTGTTGTAAAAGACAGATCTATCGATCCTCGAAATCATGATTAGCAATGCAACGATTGGCTGACGGCACAGCAGCGTAATGACATCATCTGATTAATATTCAATTATCCATGTGAGCAAAATTACATAAAAATGGTTTGCTAAATATAATACGCAACAACTCTCCACATTTGTTGTGAGCTGCAGGTTTTACCCTTCCATGCCTCAAGAGTATTCATCATGTATTTCAATGCATATCAGTGTATTTAGTTCTACATTTAGAGAAGATTTTCTTTATTATAACTGTATAAATTAATTTTGCATCAAAAAAGCATTTTGATATCAGTAAAGGTGTCTGCAACTTTTGTAAAGCATCCAATCATCGGCATATTAGTGGTTAAAACATGTGTATGACTGCATAAATTATTATTCTTTTTTTTTTAAGTCGAATATTGTGCATGTACGCGTTTGCACTGTATCTAAAAAGTTCATATCAATACATTTTCACTTTGAACCACCAGGTGGAAGTCTTTGTACTTTTATTTCGAAGTGCAGATTGCATAGGTTTTATTAATGTAAATATTTTAACTTTATATATATATACATATATATATATATATATATATATATATATATATATATATATATATATATATATATATATATAGTTAAAAATATATATTTACTATTTTTCCAAGTATATTTAACTACTGTAAGAAAATATCAGCATTCAGTACATACTTTCAGTATTATCTTTGCTTGAACTGACCGGATCTAATCCTGCTTATATGAAATGAGCCTGCTCCCAAGCAGGTTTGAGCTACCAGAACTGTTGCTACGACAACAAGTCTCGAATGAGTTTTGAAGAACGAAACGATACTGGATCGTGTCAAATCGTCGATATCCAAATCCAGCTAATTGAGTATTCCACATACGAAGAACAGACCCCAGGAGTGAATCATGTAATAAACACATTACAAGTGTAGATAAATTTAATAGAGCAAATAGAAAAGTGAAATAAACAGTGTGTTACGGTTTTCAGGGCAGTCAAACCATATTCAGGTACAGAAATTAAAAAATCTAATATAAAATAATGCGGCACGCTGGCTCAGTGGTTAGCACTGTGGCCTCACAGCAAGAAGGTCGCTGGTTCAAGTCCCGGCTGAGTCAGTGGTCATTTCTGTGTGGAGTTTGCATGTTCTCCCCGTGTTGGCATGGGTTTCCTCTGGGTGCTCCGGTTTCCCTCACAGTCCAAGCACATGCGCTATAGGGGAATTGATGAACTAAACTGGCCGTAGTGTATGTGTGTGAATGAGTGTGTCTGGGTGTTTCTCAGTACTTGGTCGCGGCTTGGTCGCTGCATAAAACATATGCTGCAATAGTCTGCAGTTCATTCGGCTGGGGGAACCTCTGAAATAGAGACTAAGCTGAAGGAAAATCAATGAATGGATAATTAAGCATCACTCGCCTCCATCATCATGACCAATCCTCAGCTTCAGGAGTTCTCCGAGATCTACGGCCTCCACAGTGAACACGTCGATCATCCCCTTCTCAAACTTGTTTTTGTGAGATTTAGAGGCCTTCAGGTTGATGATTCCTGTTCAGACAATGAGAACGGATGTCATCTGAACCTGAAATGTGTTTGTTTACACTGGTGCATGCGTGTATTTTCACCTGTGTCGTCATTCTCTCCAAACAGAATGGCAAAAACATTGGCGTCTGTTCCAGCGTGCTTCTTTTCTCCCGTCTTGATCCGCAACGTGTATGTTGTGGACATCGCTACAAGGGAAATAATTCAACAAAATAATAAACACTACGTTTCCATACACCTATTTGTATGCTCATTTTGGATTATTGCATAAAGAAATGGCAAGATGCACACAGATTTCGGATTTACTTCTTATTTAACAGGAAAAAATGTGCAGAAACTACAATAAAAATACATTTACTGATTAAATTCCAGCATGTGCTTCATCAGTATCTACGCTTCAGTGCTCTAGTTTTCTCTCAGATGATTTGACTGATATAAATGTGTGTGTAATAAATCAAATAGTAATGATTAATGTGTCTATTGTTGATTTCATTTAGTTCCCGTCACCCTTCTGTTCCAGTCCCAGTGTGGCTCCAGAATCCTCCTCATCCTCGTCTTTCCTCATGAAAGCCTCGTCTACGGGTACGAGCTCGCGTGCAATCTGACCGTCATCTTCATCCACCGCTAGCCATCGATTACAGGGGAAGTAATACCTGTGACACCCGATATGACCACAGTGAGACGCCTTCATCTGTGTGTGTGTGTGTGACTCATGAATAAATACACACATGCAGATTTGATCCCTTCACCTGAGGTCAGATTCACAATCATCTTATAACACGATAATAGTGCTGTCAAACAATTATTCGCTATGAATCGCTAACAAAATAAAAGTTTGTCTTTACATAATATGTTTGTACACACTATATATAAATATTGTGTACATATATGTAAATAAAAATATATAAAATACAAAACCTATATACTGAAATATAGTATATACGAATAATATTACGAATCGAAATAAAGTTTTGTGTATATTTTGTAAGTTTTGTGGCCGGTAGTCATGTAATAAGCGGGATAAAGTATATCCAGAATGGTTGTTTTCACAGAATAAACCCTTTAGTCTTTCACATCGAGCGGCTGATAAACCAACACAATCTCACTGCAATTTGTAACTTTTTGATGTAGTGGCTAATTCGTACGATCAAATTCGTACATTTTAGTACGATTTGCTCATTCTCTAATTACGGTTGGGTTTAGGGGTGGGGTTAGATGCCACGCCTCCTTTTTAAAATCGTACAATTTCGTACGACTGAACTCAAATGAATTCGTACGAATTAGTCACTAAACTGCCAAAACGTAAAAAACTTACGTTTTCTCGTGAGATCGGCTGGATAAACCTGTCTGACTTTATTCTAAGATAACAGCCTCCTGTATGTTCTTTATCCCTTACATATTGCACAGCCGTATCCGGACTCACGTGGTGTCATCTTTAGTGTCCACGATCTCCACCCGGTCCAGATACCAGGCAGACTGACCGCTGTTATCATGACGAATCCGCAGCTTTTTCAGAGTCCCAAGTTCCACAGCGGTGATGGAGAACGCATCCTCCTGTGGGCGCCCAGTGAGAGCTGAAGTTAGTTAGATTAAAAGTAGAGATGCACTGATGTAGAGTTTTTTGACCAGTGATCGATAACTGTTTTTACATTTGAAGGCTAATAAACGATACAGTACAGAATTCCAACCTGGAATTTTGGACCAATACCATTAGCCCTTTATATTTCGAGGCTGATAAATGATGTGGAATTCCAACATGGAATAAATTCTGACATAGAGTTTTTGACTGAAACCGATAACCATTTCCATTTGGAGGTTTATAGGTGATTTAGAATTCCAATAGGGCATTTTTGACTGATCATGAAAACCAGTGCTTTATTTGTGAATTGCGAGGTCCCAGAACAGATTGGGGTAACGGATCCAGCATGTTACCTGAGGATGGAGAGTTGTCGCACACAAAAGTGGAAAACTGTGGAGGTTGGGGGTGGCTATGGATGGCAGAGGGGTGTCGCGGACGAAGGACGAAAGTGAAGAGCGTGTGGTTGTCGCTGACAAAAGTAAAGAGGCTTGGGGAAAAGCGGAAGAAAGTGAACAGCAAACGGGGGAAGAGGGTGGTTGAGGAGATGGATTGGTAAAATGAGATGCCTAATCAATTTCAGATGTGCCGGATGCGAATCCGTCGTGCTCCAACACAAATTAAGCCCTGCTGATAACCGATAACTCTCTACATTTGGAGGCTGATAGATGATATAGAATTCCAATATGTAGTTTTTGACCGATACCGATAACTCTCTCCATTTGGAGACTGATAGACGATATAGAATTCCAATATGTAGTTTTTGACCGATACCGATAACTCTCTCCATTTGGAGACTTATAGACAATATATAGAATTCCAATATGTAGTTTTTGACCGATACCGATAACTTTCTACATTTGGAGATTGATAGACGATATAGAATTCCAATAAGTAGTTTTTGACCGATACCGATAACTCTCTACATTTGGAGACTGACAGACAATATAGAACTTCAGTATGCAGTTTTTGACCGATACCGATAACTCTCTACATTTGGAGACTGACAGACGATATAGAATTCCAATATGTAGTTTTTGACCGATAGCGATAACTCTCTACATTTGGAGACTGATAGATAATATAGAATTCCAATATGTAGTTTTTGACCGATAGCGATAACTCTCTACATTTGGAGACTGACAGATGATATAGAATTCCAGTATGTCGTTTTTGACCGATACCTATAACTCTCTACATTTGGAGACTGATAGACGATATAGAATTCCAATATGTAGTTTTTGACCGATAGCGATAACTCTCTACATTTGGAGACTGATAGATGATATAGAATTCCAGTATGTCGTTTTTGATCGATAACAATAACTCTCTACATTTGGAGATTGATAGACAATATATAGAATTCCAATATGTAGTTTTTGACCGATACCGATAACTCTCTACATTTGGAAACTGACAGACGATACAGAATTCCAGTAAGTAGTTTTTGACCGATACCGATAACTCTCTACATTTGGAGACTGACAGACAATATAGAATTCCAAGATGGCATTTTTAACCAATATGATAACCGATAACCCTTTATATTTGGAGGCTGATAGACGATATGAAATTCCGATATTAAACTTTGGACCAATACCGAAAACTAGGGCCAGACAGAATCTGCTGACATTTTTTACTATTTCTACGCACAATTTTGTTAAAAATCTGCAGATTTATACAGAATGATTTTGAGAATATCATAACTAAAATCTTAATATATGAAATAAAAAGTAATATCTTTTAAACTTGTATTTAATGTTTACAATGCAAATCCAATTAGATCCATTTTATTTGGTAAACAAAGCAAGTCTCTCATATAATATCTCTACAAGCGGCAGAAAATATTATTTTACAAACTGCATTGTAAATAAATCATATGAACATTTTCATATTAGTCAATAATTATACTGAAATTAATTTAAAACAGAATAAATATAAATTTACACACATTTACACAAGTAAATAAACAGTATCAATGGTTCTGCACGCGCAGATTCCATGTGGGCCAACCGATAACCAATAACTTAAGGGTTAACTTAAATTGTTTCTTTATATAATAATAATAATATAAATATAATTGATGTTTATTTATTTATTTATTTATTTACCAACATTATAAACAATATAAATAATTAAATTTTATAAATTTTAAAAATACATATGATGTAGGATATAAAACGCATATATATATATATATATATATGCTTTTAAATTAATCTTATTTTTTCAAAATGCACAAAAAACTGATGGGTGTTAATTAAAAGTTTATTCACAGCACCACAACTGAACCCAGTTTTTTGGAGACGGGGTCTGTCGAGTTGCCCTGGATTCATATTCGATGTGTGCGTTGAATAATGAATGATCTCTCTCACATTAACAGATGAGTAAGACTATACGTGTGAATCTGCTGTGAATAAGATGAGTGCAGGTGTCAGATGTCCGCTCACCTGTCCGCGCTCAAACTTGTTCATATGGTTGGACTTTCTGAGGCGCCGCTCGCCGGTGTCTCCGTTTTCCCCGTAGATGTTGATGAACACGTTAGCATCCGTTCCAGCGCCCATCATGTTTCCCGTGAACACGTTAACTTCATACGTGTTCTCTGAAGCACAACAGGTGATGCATTATTAAAATACAAGCCAGAAATGCAGGATCATGATTTGATTAGTGAAACAGCAGACATCTGTGATCATCTGTGATTTATGCGTTTACGTTACACTGCTTCCTGCATGATCTGACAGAAAGACTGGTTTGGCATACTCAAGTGGTTGCTAGGGTGTCATTAGGTAGTTGCTAAGAAATTCAGAGTTATTTGATAGTAGTTACAATAATAAAAGTGTTGCTATGTGGTTGCTAGGTTATTCTTAGTGTTTTTTAAAGTGTTGTTTTGTTGTTGCTAGGTTATTTATAGTGTTTTTAAAGTGTTGTTATATGGTTGCTAGGTTATTCAAAGTGTTTTAAAAGTGTTGTTATGTGGTTGCTAAGTTATTTGTACTGTTTTTAAAGTGTTGCTATGTAGTTGCTAGGTTATTTATAGTGTTTTAGAGTGTTGTTATGTGGTTGCTAGGTCATTTTTAGTTTTTTTAAAAGTGTTGCTATGTGGTTGCTAGGTTATTTATGGTGTTTTCAAAGTGTTGTTATGTGGTTGCTAGGTTATTAAAAGTTTTTAAGAGTGTTGCTAGGTTATTTTTTTTAAAGAGTGTTGCTATGTGGTTGCTAGGTTATTTAAAGTGTTTTTAAAGTGTTGCTATGTGGTTGCTAGGTTATTAAAAATGTTTTAAAGTGTTGCTATGTGGTTGCTAGGTTATTTACAGTTTTTGAAGAGTGTTGTTATATGGTCGGTAGGTTATTCAGAGTGTTTTTTTTTTAAGTGTCGCTATGTAGTTGCTAGGTTATTCATAATGTTTTAACGTGTTGCCATGTGATTGCTGGGTTATTTAGAGTGTTTTAAAAATGTGTTGTTTTATGGTTTCTATGTTATTTAAAGTGTTTTTAAAGTGTTGTTATGTGGTTGTAAGGGTATTTATAGTTTTTTCATAGTGTTGCTATGTGGTTGCTAGGTTATTTAAAGTGTTTTAAGAGTGTTAATATATTGTTTTAGGTTTTTATGGTGTTTTTAAAGTTTTGCTATGTGGTTGCTAGGTTATTTAAAGTGTTTTTAAAGTGTTTTATGTGGTTGCTAGGTTAATCATAGTGTTTTAAAGTGTTGTTAAGTGATTGCTAGGTTATTTATAGTTTTTTTTAAAGTGGTGCTATGTGGTTGCTAGGTTATTTAAAGTTTTTTTAAAGTGTTGTTATGTGGTTGCTAGGTTATAGTGTTTTAAAGTGTTGTTATGTGGTTGCTAGGTTATTTATAGTTTTTTTTAAAGTGTTACTATGTGGTTGCTAGGTTATTTAAAGTTTTTTAAAGTGTTGCTATGTTGTTGCTAGGTTATTTATAGTGTTGTCAAAGTGTTGTTATGTGGTTGCTAGGTTATTTAGAGTGTTGTCAAAGTGTTGTTAAGTGGTTGCTAGGTTATTCATAATGTTTTAACGTGTTGCCATGTGATTGCTGGGTTATTTAGAGTGTTTTAAAAATGTGTTGTTTTATGGTTTCTATGTTATTTAAAGTGTTTTTAAAGTGTTGTTATGTGGTTGTAAGGGTATTTATAGTTTTTTCATAGTGTTGCTATGTGGTTGCTAGGTTATTTAAAGTGTTTTAAGAGTGTTAATATATTGTTTCTAGGTTTTTATGGTGTTTTTAAAGTTTTGCTATGTGGTTGCTAGGTTATTTAAAGTGTTTTTAAAGTGTTTTATGTGGTTGCTAGGTTAATCATAGTGTTTTAAAGTGTTGTTAAGTGATTGCTAGGTTATTTATAGTTTTTTTTAAAGTGGTGCTATGTGGTTGCTAGGTTATTTAAAGTTTTTTTAAAGTGTTGTTATGTGGTTGCTAGGTTATAGTGTTTTAAAGTGTTGTTATGTGATTGCTAGGTTATTTATAGTTTTTTTTAAAGTGTTACTATGTGGTTGCTAGGTTATTTAAAGTTTTTTAAAGTGTTGCTATGTTGTTGCTAGGTTATTTATAGTGTTGTCAAAGTGTTGTTATGTGGTTGCTAGGTTATTTAGAGTGTTGTCAAAGTGTTGTTAAGTGGTTGCTAGGTTATTCATAATGTTTTAACGTGTTGCCATGTGATTGCTGGGTTATTTAGAGTGTTTTAAAAATGTGTTGTTTTATGGTTTCTATGTTATTTAAAGTGTTTTTAAAGTGTTGTTATGTGGTTGTAAGGGTATTTATAGTTTTTTCATAGTGTTGCTATGTGGTTGCTAGGTTATTTAAAGTGTTTTAAGAGTGTTAATATATTGTTTCTAGGTTTTTATGGTGTTTTTAAAGTTTTGCTATGTGGTTGCTAGGTTATTTAAAGTGTTTTTAAAGTGTTTTATGTGGTTGCTAGGTTAATCATGGTGTTTTAAAGTGTTGTTATGTGATTGCTAGGTTATTTATAGTTTTTTTAAAGTGGTGCTATGTGGTTGCTAGGTTATTTAAAGTTTTTTTAAAGTGTTGTTATGTGGTTGCTAGGTTATAGTGTTTTAAAGTGTTGTTATGTGGTTGCTAGTTTATTTATATATTTTTTTTAAAGTGTTACTATGTGGTTGCTAGGTTATTTAAAGTTTTTTAAAGTGTTGCTATGTTGTTGCTAGGTTATTTATAGTGTTGTCAAAGTGTTGTTATGTGGTTGCTAGGTTATTTAGAGTGTTGTCAAAGTGTTGTTAAGTGGTTGCTAGGTTATTTAGAGTGTCTTCAGAGTGTTGCTATGTGGTTGCTAGGTTACTTATAGTGTTTTAAGAGTGTTATTATGTGGTCTCTAGGTTATCCAGAGTGTTTTTTTTTAAGTCTGCCAGCTGTTTCAGTGTATTGTTATGCTGTTTCTAACTTCCGAGTGTTTTCATGCAGTTTCTGTGTTATTCCGAGTATTTGGGTGTGGTTTGATGTGCTTTCTAAAGTGTGTTTTGAGTGTCGTTTGTCTGATAGATACAGTGTTGTTCTGGAAGTGTTCTTGTACCCTCCAGCTCCTCTGTATCCTCCGGCAGAAGCTCCACCACCAGCTCTCCATCCTCCTCATCTGAAGCCAGCCAGCGGTCGCAGGGAAACGAATAAGTGAGCACCACCTGCCGCATCTCCTCTCCACCCTCCTCCTCATCATCATCCTCACTCTTCTTCTTACTCTTCTTCTTCTTCTTCTTGTCTTCTTTCTTCTCTTTGGGCACCATGGCCATGACCAGACGCTTGATCTCCACGCGGTCCAGAAACCATCCAGCTCCGATGCCCGTGTCATCATTGCTGACGCGGATCTTGAAGATTTTCCCCACATCTTTAGCTTCGACCTGTGTGACAGACACCATAGATCAATATGAATGAGTGTGACTAGGGCTGGGTTTACTGATAATCATGCATCTTGGCTCCCAAAGGAGACCTCTCTGCTGTCTCTAGTCTAGAGAGTGTGTGTGTTTCAGTTTGAGCTAAAAAGAGTACACAGAAAATGTTTTGTGGACTGGATGATAGCGGGATAGTAGGGGAAAATACAGGAGAATCTGCAAAAAGGGTTGACAGGTATGGTGGGAACGCTGTGTTTTTGACTGTACCTTGAATATCTCAGTGGTTCCTCTTTCATAGTTATTGGATCTGCTGCTGAGTCCGAGCACCTCCGTCTTTCCTTGATCTCCGTATATTTGGATGAACACGTTGGCATTTGTGCCGCCGGCGAAAATATCTCCCGTCACCACCGTGATCTCATAGTTTATCACTACAGGACACAGGAAGATATTTAATGTTCCTGCTTCTGAAAAAAAAAACATCTGTAAACATTATAATATTGAAGAGAGCAGACGAAATCTACACCAAAAGTGCATAAATCTGCATTCTAATTCTAATCATACAAATGTGAAATAATTCAACATAGAATCAATCTAAATAAACCACTTATTTATATCAAATAATAAAAAGTAAATGGTTATAAAAGCTGAAAAAATATTATAAAATAACTGAAGAATTGAAGAAATTGAAGAAATCTACTCTCCATTAAACAGAAATTGGGGAAAAAAACGGGGGGGGCTAATAATTCAGACTAAAACTGTGTGTGTGTGTGTGTGTGTGTGTGTGTGTGTGTGTGTGTGTGTGTGTGTGTGTGTGTGTGTGTGTGTGTGTGTGTGTGTGTGTGTGTATATTTATAAGGGTGTCACGATCCTCCAAATCCTCGATTCGATTACATTTTCGATTCTAAAGGCACGATTCGATTCGATTTTCGATTTTGAATAATTAATTATTGACCAATTAATTATTTGTAGCCTACCGTTTAAACTACCTGACCTGCATGGTCTTTGTTTTACCCATAAACAAATCATACAGTGAATGAATAAAGGCAAGATACACACATAATTACCACCTGTCAATCACTTTTTCTGCGGGACTCGTGAATAGGCAGTGATCTGTGTCGTTATAATGGCGTCGGTAAAAAAGACGCACAACCAACAGCAACCAGCCAACAGTATCTGAGGTGTTCGCTAAAATGACTAAGTACAAGTGAGTGAAAGATTGAAGCAGTCCTCTGACTGCCTGGACCTGCTGTCTCGAGCGCATGGCTGTGTGTGCGTCTGTGTGTGTGTGGTCACGTGATGTGCATTTTCAGAGGTAGAGAGGAAGGAGGGCTGCTCAGAAATGCTACACGCCACTGTGGATGTCAAATCGTTGTTGTTCTAAAATGCCATTTAAAAACAAAGACAGTGTAAACAGGGCCTGAGTGTGTACTTTTCATCAGCGGATGCCGGTGTTCGATCGCGATGCCGGTGTTGTCTATCGGACGAACCGTACGTAATACGTACATAGCAGAGCTTGCAAGACTGTGTGTTTTTTTTTGTCGACAACACGAACGTTGTCAACATAACTCACTGGAAATCCAAAATGCTTCCACACCGGCGACTTCATTGAAAGAGGAGAGGGTTTAAGCTCTGTCGACGGGTCTCCTGCGTCTGCAGTTCAACAAGCACTTCAACAAGCCTGTTTTTTCCCGCTTGGCAAGCCAAGCTGACGTGACATGGGGGTGTGGCAGCATCAACAATTCTATTTTTTGATTCGATAATCGAAATTGAGCATAAATTTTGATCGATTTTGATTAAAAATCTAAATCGTGACACCCCTAATATATATATATATATATATATATATATATATATATATATATATATATATATATTTATTTATTTATTTATTTATGAATTTATTTATTTATTTTTTTAATTATTTATACAACAGTTCTGTCTAGTTTTAGAATCTAATTGGCTGATAGCTGTGCAGTGTTCTGCAATATCAGGCACTCGTACAGCCTCCTCACCCTTCTGTATTACTCCGCCCACATAGAGTGACAGCAGATCAATAAACTCACTACAGTTTGACAAATATTGCAGCTGTTGGACAACATAGTGTACTTTTTCCGGCAAGGCTTTTTTTAGCCAAGAATGTAGTTGTTTAGATTGCAAATATGCAGGGACCGCTTAATAAGCCCTTAGCAGGGGAAAAACCCAGCATAATTTCTAACTACAGCTGATCAAATCATTATTAAACTGGTAAGTGACACTCAAGTCAATCTCTCTCTTTTGCACATTGTAGTGCTGTATTTACACCATAGAAATTGTAGTGTGTTAAGTGTGAGATGGGACTCACTGCAGACTAGTTCAGTGAACAGAAAGAAAGTAGAAATGCTGCATGGATTTAGCGTTTTTCCTTATCGCCAACACAACAGTAATCTGCTGGTGTTTGCTTTGGCTTATTCAGAGTTAATAATTGTGATCTCCCGATTACAACAAAAAGCACTGTGAAATCTCTGTAGACGGATGGCATTTCATGCTGTTCAGCCTTATCATCTTACAATGTGAGCAAAATCAGCTGTTTAGTCATCACTTTAGACATTACGCTAGAGAATCATTCAAACACTAGCTCTAAAGTGACGTTGGTGAATTAGCTTCAACTGTTCTGACGTCAGCTGCAGATGTGAATGAACGGCGGAAGAAAGTAGTTCCTCATACAAAAGGGTTTTCAGACTCTCTGTATTTGATTTTCTTTTTATACACATGACTATGCTGTCGAACTGTTGTATGAAGGCAATATCACACGAGTAGCAGTGCCATATGGCTGTTTATCGTCACTGGTGGGGCATGAAGGCACTTGGTCTCCCACCTATGCCAATATTATTATTATTGTTATTATTATTATTATTACTGTTATTATTATTATTATTATTATTACTACTACTCTGCGTGTTATATTACTTATATGTGTGTGTGTGTGTGTGTGTGTGTGTGTGTGTGTGTGTGTGTGTATATATATATATTCTTTTTATTAAATCAATTAATTTATCAGTCAGTCAGACTTATTTTTATTAAATAAATGAAGCTAATTTCATATTTGTGTTATATAAACTCATGATTAAAATTGTAAAAATAAATTAATAAAAAAAAATCAAATACAGTATGAGTGTTTACATAGCTCAAAGTCCAGTGTTTCGCTGGGGTAAATCTCCACCTCCGTCTTCCCATCAGCCTCATCCTCACACAGCCAGCGGTGACTAGGGAACATGTAGTGCTTTCCGTGATTAGGAACCACAATCTGAACGCTGTCCAGAAACCAGCCGGCGCGCATGCCTTCATTCGAGTGTCCGATCAGGAGACGGTTGATCTGCAGATGAAACATTCAAGCATGATCGTTAATTATTGTTATTTTCACATAAAACAAATCAAATGCATTCAATCATAACCATTATTTCATAGCTAAATTAATAATAATTACATTTAAATAAGAGTCTACATAAAAAATAAAAGCATCTGTAAACACTATATATAAGAAACCAGCTGAGATCTGCACTTTAGTTGCCAGTAATGCTGTAAAATTTACAAGTGCACTGTACATTAATAATTATGTTGGCTTGAGAAAGCCAACTTACTGTTATACTACTCTGTCCTTGAAAACAAACGTATCTCCTCCTAGACCGTTCATGCCACAAGGCCCAAATGTGGTCAAAATGTGCCTTCTGCATTCAAGATTGTTGCTATATCTCCTCATGCCTATAAGACTTATTGTTTTTTTAATAAAAATGTTAAATATAAAATTTTTATAATCCGAGCATATAAAAAAATTATACAAGCCCCAAATTTGGCCAAAAGCTGTATTTAGATGTGTTAGGTTTTGTTGCTATATCTTTAAGGTTTATCAGACTTATAGTTTTCCAATTAATAATTTTTAAGCATTATTTTTCTTAGAATATGGCAAGCCATTTTCGACTTAAACTCCATATTTTTTACTGATATGGCAAGCCATTTTTGCATGTATCACCATCACACTTATCAAGCATTGTATTTTCAAAAAAATACGGCAAGCCATTTTTACATAATGTTCATTCCCTTAGTCTCTTTATTAATCAGGGGTCGCCACAATGGAATGAACCGCTAACTTATCCAGCATTTGTTTTACACAGCGAATGCCCTTCCAGCCGCAACGCAACACCAGGAATACATAATGTTCAAGTCCAGTTTTTGACACTAATAAAGACTGTCATAGAGACATCGGGGTTGATTAAGATCACTCATATTGCCAAGAAGCTTTGATGTATCATCCCTAACCTGCCAAACGTCCCCATAGCAATAAAACAGTATAACCTAGCAACCATTTAAAAATAGCAATATCTAGGTAACATCGTAGGGACCTGGGCATTGGCTTGTTTGACTCATGCTAGCAAATGGGACTTCCTGTATACTATGCATGGTAACAATGATAATGGAAGCCAAGTGCTAATAACGATTAGCTACATGCTATGAATGATTTTCTAAATGCAATAACATATGCTGGAAATGCCTACTAAGTATTAGCATTTGATTAAACATGTACACGAGCATTGCCATTTAGCAACTTCTTAGCAACCACCTAACAATGCCATAATTGTTTTAGCAACTGCCTAGCAACCACTTAGCAACCGCCGCCGTGCTTCCTGCCAACTGCCATTCCCGGTCCTAGCACAGTCACGTTGGCTTTCTCAAGCCAACATCAAAGTTTATCAATAAACTTTAGGTTCTAGTTAACAGTTGTAATTGTTATTTTACAGTGCGTTTGTAAATTTTACAGCATTACTGGCAATTTTTACAGTATTACGGCAACATTAACAAGTGCTCTTTAAATTATTAACAACTATAACTGTGCTGTAGTTTTACAGCACAATTTTACCTATTAATTTACAAGGCACGTTATTTTCACAGTATTTTTGTCGCAGGTGTAACTGTAATCTTTACAGTATCTTACAATGTGTATAGGTTCACTTTTAGGAAGCTTTCTAAATGAGACGCCAGGACAGTTGATGTTTTATTCATACAGCCCACAGATAATCATATTAAATATAAGTAATTATTATTTTTTCCCTACCTGTCCGATGTCTAAAGTGTCCAGGGTGAAGATGTCCACTCGTCCCACTTCAAAGTAATTGCGCAGATTATTGTCGGAGACGGCGAGCATCATTTTACTGGTGTCTCCTTTCTCTCCGTACAACTTCACGAAAACTTTAGAGTCTGAACTTCCTCCGGTGACGTTGCCTGTTTTCACCGCGATGTGATAGCTGACGTCTGAAAACACACAGATATTCATATTTACATGAATGCATTCAGTAAATGAGTCGACCGGGGGCGTAGTGGACATTTTAAAAGTGGGCGGACAGCTGAATGAAATCCAAAAGTGTACATTCTTAATCACCTGTTTCTAAATGGTCTGTCTCTAAAAGTGAGGGGGACGTATGATTCTGCACGGTGGCTGAGTGGTTAGCATTGTGGCCTCACAGCAAAAAGGTCGCAGGTTCGAGTCCCGGTTAGTTGGCGTTTCTGTGTGGAGTTTGCATGTTCTCCCTGTGTTGCGGTGGGTTTCCTCTGGGTGCTCCGGTTTCCCTCACAGTCCAAACACATGCGCTATAGGGGAACTGATGAACTACATTGACCATAGTGTATGAATGTGTGTGTGTGTGTTTCCCAGTACTGGGTTGCAGCTGGAAGGGCATCCGCTGTGTAAAACATATGCTGAAAAAGTTGGTGGTTCATTCCACTGTGGCGACCCCTAATAAATAAAGGGACTAATCCAAGGGAAAATTAATAGGTGAATGAATGAATGACAAGGCTTTGCTTTCCACCTCCTTTATTTAATCACAATGACTTCTGGGACTTCTAGAGCGAGTTTTGCACTCAAGTCAATACATCTTTGATATCAGGAATGCATCAGGGCTCTGTCACGGGCCCTCTATTCTTGCCAGACGGAATCTGCGGTCGTTTTTTGCCATTTCTGCACAGAATTTTTGGTAAAAATCTGTGGATTTCTGCAGAATTATTTTGGGAGTATCATAATTAAAACCTTAACATATGAACTTAAAAATAAAACCTTTTTAACTTTATTTATTGTTTAAAATGCAAATCCAATTAGATACACTTTATTTGGTAAACAAAGCAAGTCTCTCATATAATATCTCTATTAAAAGACAGAAAATGTCGACTTTCATAACATAAAAGACCATTTGCAAAAATCTAAAGTCGTTCAGTCCTTCGCTAGTGATAATAACTCATTACACTGATGCAGTCTGATGCTGACTGAAACTCACTGTACAGTCTCTGTCCATCTGCAAACGGCTGCAGCTCTCGAACTATCTGTCCATCGTCTTCATTGCGGTCGAACCATCTGTGCAGGAAACACGAGCAAACATCAGTGGAGAACAGCTGGATTAACTCTTGATGTGTGTGTTGATGTTGACTGAATGTGTAACCTGCTGCAGGGGAACTCCACAGCCTGGGATTCAGCCTGTCCTTCTTCACGGATAGTCACTTTATCCAGATACCATCCACAGCCTCCGCCCCGACCGTCATGACCGATACGAACCCTGCGCACCGGCCCGATGGAGACCGCCTCGATGATGAACTCATCAGCCTGACGGAGACACACACACACAGAGACAAACAAACTCAAATATAGAGAGACACATGCACACATAGACAGACACACATACACACACAGAGGCAAACAGAGACACGCATACAGACACAACACAGAGAACACACACCTCTCAGATTAACAGTGCTCATTTTGATGGGGTTTCAGTCTTTGTCTTTTGACTAAATGAGATTTAGTTTAATTCCACTAAAGTTCAGAGGATTTGATTTGATTAGATCTACTCTATATTTAGTTGAATAAAATCTCACCAGTTTAGACATATTTATTTGCATTAATTAAATATAATTAATTAAACTGCAGTGAAGACTTTACTGAAGTTAAATCATCTAAATCCCCTAAATAATCCACCAGGGGGGTGAATAAAATAATCTCGTTTTTGGTTTGAAATGATACTCACTCCACTGGCAGATTATTTTAGCTTGTTTTATGAAAAATTGATAACTTTTTTTGGTTGTCTAGAAAATGCTTCTTGGTTAAAAAATTTGTAGATATTTGGACTAGAAAAACAAATTTTTGCAATGTATAAGGGTCCGTGTACGTTTTGTTCATTTGTTTTCCATTTTCAAACGGAATAAAGGAAATGGAGAAAACGGCCGTTTTTCCGTTTTTCTTTTGCTCACGAGAAAACGAAAAAACGAGATTTTGGCTGGATTTCCGTTTTTTGGTTTAGGGTAGGAAAACGGATAAACGACTTTAAAATTCATTTTACACATGTAGGCGGTGCTGAAACGCCCACTTTCCTCTAATTGGTTAACCAAATCTGTGCTCGTGACGTCACCCTCAAAATAAAAGCCTTACACGCAGGCTTTTAATTATTATTATTTAATTATATATATAAACAAAGTTTACATATTCTATCATTTGAACCACACACAGTTAGCAGGCTTACATTCATTGCGTATGTATAAATTAAATAAAAACGTAAAGCAGTATTCTTAGACATTTGTCATTAAAATAAGGTCATAGTTCACTGCCAAGCTTCTTGCTGCTGTGCACCTGATGCAGAGCAAAGATAGCCATTTCCGAGGAGCACCTGGTTTGCATGATTATTTCAGAGCAAGGGCTTTATAATAATAATAATATTAATAATAATAATAATAATTATTATTATTATTATTATGATGATGATGATTATTATTATTATTATTATTATTATTATTATTATTATTATTATTATTATTATTATCAGTTACTAGTGTTTTTATTGTTTGGTGTGTTTTTTTTTCTTTTTAATAATTGTTAGCAGAACCAGAATAAGAACACTTTGGGCCCTGCTATAAAAACAAAGGGTACCATTTGTTTTCATTTATTTCTTCCTATTTTAATTATATATTGTAATTATTTATTTGATAATTAATACTATTTTATTGCAACGCCAAAGTAGGCCTGTCTTATTATTTTTTTATTATTAAATTAGCTTTTATTGTAGGCTAGATGGCAGGCTTTAAATATTTTAAATAACATTTACTCATAACCTTACTAATTCGAGAGCCGAACCTAAAAAAGTTTAAGTGCAATAAGCCTGTACAATAAATGGAGCCGCAATGCATATTTCTAGCGCATTCTTTCACTCAACAATTATTGCTGGAATAATGAAATAAATTTCAAATTAACTAATTAAACACATAGTTGATAAAAAAATTGTGTCTAGTAGTTCCGACAAACAGATGAGCTCGCTACATGTGCGTTGCGCTAATAATTTGACATTTGCTCTTCTTGAGAAAGTGCTACAGCGGGCCCTGCTATTTCACATATAAGGTTAGTGATACGTATTTTAAATTAGTATTGCACATTATTCATTTATTTTCTTGTCGGCTTAGTCCCTTTATTAATCTGGGGTCGCCACAGCGGAATGAACCGCCAACTTATTTAGCAAGTTTTTACGCAGCGGATGCCCTTCCAGCCACAACCCATCTCTGGGAAACATCCACACATACACACACACTTATACAGTACGGACAATTTAGCCTACCCAATTCACCTGTACCGCATGTCTTTGGACTGTGGGGAAAACCAGAGCACCCGGAGGAAACCCACGCGAACGCACTACACTACTGAATTAGACACACAATCTCAAACAAAAACTTGATGCTTATTTACATTATCTAAAGTAATTTCTTATGAGGTAGGATCTGTTGTTGTATTATATATTTTCGTTTTAATATGCAAATAATTTTCTTTAATTTGTAATAGCCCTATGTCCCTCATTGCATAAAATAACCAGCCTTTGTATTCAATATGTTTGTAAATTGTTTATCCAGTTTGACGCAAGCTAAACAACATTTTGGCCTGTTTTGCTTATTAAATGAGTGATTTTCACGGAGAAACAAATCATCCATCCACACAGTTTTGTATAGGACCTGTGTGAACAAAAATATACACTTCATAGCCTATAGGAAAATGTATCTGTTTAGAACCAATTTTGTGTTGTATAATTAAAAATATTAAAAATACAATAAAAAAAGGAATAACATTTGAAGTGCAATGCTTCAAAGATCCAATACGCTGCATGCAGAGCCAAAACAAAAACTGGTTTGTTTGTTTAATAAAAAAATAATATGAAATTAAAGTGAAATAGTTCCATAACCTGTATTATAACTGTAGTCACTCTAGATGACAAATCATCCGTTGCGCCGGTCAGTTTCACCTTTAATCAAGAATGTGCCAGAACCAAATGAGAATATTTACAGATTACCTCGGAATGAGACCTCGGTCTGTGAAGGATGCAGAACACAGAAACTCGTTGAGAATGGAGATGCATGTTAGATGTTTTATATCCCTTTAGATATTGTAAATAAACAACAAGTTTTTCTAGAGATTGTGTCATGTCTTTTCTTTGACGCACGCGGTGAACAGCCCCGAAAAGGCGCCTTTATTTAGCCTGTAGCCTAAATAATAGTTTAGATTTTATAACATATAATGTTCCATTACTTTAAATGTATAATGTTTTTTAATATTTATGGATTATATAAAATATATAGTTTATATAAATGCGTTCTGATCATTCAAGGATCATAATGCGTTGCATATTCTTCTTATTCTTCATTGATCCGTCAATTGTGTATTTTATAAACTGATCGTTTATAAGGACTAAGCTATTAATAACTGTAATTCCTCGAATGGAAAAGTCTTGATTAAAGAAAAAGAGAACTTAATTCGACATATGCATATGCATATAGTAACTGCATCTGGCAGCACCGAAAATAGCAAATGCCAAGTTATTAGCGCAGTGCACAGACAGCTAGCTCGTCTAGTCTGAACCAGGGGTTTTCAAACTATTCATTGCACACCGATCCCATTGCATTTTATTTAGGATAAACCACTTATTTAAAATTAATTAATTAAAAGGTGCGTACTCTCCAATACACCACTTATAGTGTCATAATATTTAATAATTATAATTAAGATAGACACCTGACCTCCATTTAATAAACAATTTATTTGCCATACTCTGTTAATTTGAAGTTTAAAGTTTAAATCATTTATGTTAAACTTAAATTATTTAAAAACTTAAAAAGACTTAAATTTAGTCATTTAAGACATTTTAGATCATAAGTTTACATACATTGACCGTTGCATTTAGTAGGCCTATTCTGGTCTAAATAAGCTTTTTGCATCTTAGGTGTTTACACACACAATTAAGCAGTTTATACGTACATTTAATGTTACTTTGAAATTACTTTTGATGCAATAAATAATCCTAAATAGTTGAAAGTGTTAACATATTCTTGAAATGTTATTTTATAACTATGAAATTTATTACTAAACAAAGTGAATCATTATGAATTTGCCAAGAAATAATCCACTTTACCACTGTAAAGCAATGCCCCACACTCACTAGAACGGTAGAACCTGGACTGTATGATATGTTCTGTATGTAAAATAGAGAAAATAAGCAAGATGCGCAGTCTCATGCAGCCTTAGCGAAATATAGCGCGACACAGCAATGAACTAAAAATAAAACCACCCTTGAAATGCTGGCGATCTTAATTTTTTCAGCCTACACTGACTGAGAATAATGTTGCACTATTTTATTAACAAATAATTAGAATGTTTTTTTTCCTTCAACACATTTATCATTACTTTTGCCTGTGCAAGTTTTTTTGCGCGCGCTTGAGCGCGAAGGCATCTATTTTCAGGTGCAAGATGCCACTTTGGGTGGCACCAGCACACTCTGCCACACCTGTGGCTATGTCCCTGCTACAATAATAATAACAACAACAACGACAAAATAATAACAAAAAATAATAATAATAAGACAGGCCTACTTTGACGTTGCAATAAAAAAGTATTAATTATCAAATAAATATTTACAATAGGCTAAAGGCATATATTAAATTAAAATAGGAGAAAATCCAATAGAAACAAATGGTACCATTTATTATAGCCCCATGCAGGGTCCAATGTGTTCTTACAACCATTGAATAACTAAGTAAATAATAATAATAACAATACTAATAATAATAGGCCTAATAATAATAATAATAATAATAATAAATTATTATTTTATACAGAGTAGGCTATTATTTAGGCCTACAATAGCTCTGAAACAATCATGTAAACCAGGTGCTCCTCGGAAATGGCTATCTTTGCTCTGCATCAGGTGCACAGCAGCAAGAAGCTTGGCAGTGAACTATGACCTTATTTTAATGACAAATGTCTAAGAATACTGCTTTACGTTTTTATTTAATTTATACATACGCAATGAATGTAAGCCTGCTAACTGTGTGTGGTTCAAATGTTAGAATATGTAAACTTAGTTAATATATAGCCTAATTAAATAATAATAATTAAAAGCCTGCGTGTAAGGCTTTTATTTTGAGGGTGACGTCACGAGCGCAGATTTGGTTGACCAATTAGAGGAAAGTGGGCGTTTCAGCACCGCCTACATGTGTAAAATGAATTTTAAAGTCGTTTATCCGTTTTCCTACCCTAAACCAAAAAACGGAAATCCAGCCAAAATCTCGTTTTTTCGTTTTCTCGTGAGCAAAAGAAAAACGGAAAAACGGCCGTTTTCTCCATTTCCTTTATTCCGTTTGAAAATGGAAAACAAATGAACAAAACGTACACGGACCTATAAGCGACTAATTTTTAAAAAAAAATATGATAAAAAATGTATTTAAAAAAATTAAATAGAACAAATTATTTAGAAAATTTTATTAGAAATTTAAAATTTGAATTGGAAAATTTGAATTAAAAACTTTGATTTAGAATATTTGAATTTGATTTGAAAATTTGAAATAAAACATTGAATTTAAAATTTGAAATTTGAAAATTTGAATGTGATTTGAAAATTTGAAATAAAACATTGAATTTAAAATTTGGAATTTGAAGATTTGAATTTGATTTGAAAATTTGAAATAAAACATTACATTTAAAATTTGGAATTTGAAAATTTGAATTTGATTTTTACATTTTATTTAAATTAAAATATGATATATAAAAATTTGATTGACATTTTTAATTTGATTTGAATTTGGATTGAAAATTTGATATTGATTTTAAAACTTGAATTTAATTTGAAAATTTGACCTCAAAATTTGAATTTAATTTGAAAATTAAAATTCATTAATTCATTCATTTTCTTTTTGGCATAGTTCCTTTATTATTCTGGGGTCACCACAGCAGAATGAACCGCCAACTTATCCAGCATATGTTTTACGCTGCGGATGCCATTCCAGCTGCAATCACTAGGAAACATCCATACATACTCATTCACACTCATACACTATATCATAGCGCATGTGTTTAGACTGTGAGGGAAACCCGAACACCTGGAGAAAACCTACGCCAACACGGAGCTGACATGCAAACTCCACTCAGTTGAGGCTCGAACCAGTGACCTTCTTGCTGTGAGGCGATTGTGCTACCCACTGCGCCACCGTGCAGCCCCAAAAAATTTTAATTTTATTTGAATTTGATTTGAAACTTTGAATTTGAAAATTTTAATTTGATTTGAAAATGTACATTTGATATGAACATTTTATTAAAAAATTTTAAATGCATTTAATTTGAAAATTTTAATTAGAAAATTTGAATTTGATTTGAAAATGAAGATTTGATATTAACATTTTATTTGAAAATGTAAATTTGATTTAAAAACTTTAATTTTATTTGAAATTTTTATTTCGAAATTTGAATTGATTTGAAAATTTAAATTTGATTTGAGAATTTGATCTCAAAACTTGAATTTGAGTTTTAATTGAACTAGAAAATTTTATTGAAAATTTTAATTTGATTTGAAAATTTTAAGTTGATTTAGAAATTTTAATTTGAAAATTAAAATTTAAAAAAAAAATTTTGAACTTAGAATTTGAATTTGATGTGAAAGATTGAATTTAATTTTAAAATTTTAATTTGATTTCAAAACTTAAATTTTGATTTGAAAATTTAAATTTGAAAATTTAAATTTGATTTGAAAACTTGATTGAAAATTTTAATTTGATTAAAAAAATTTAAATAAAAAATTGTGTTTGAAAATTTAAATTTGATTTGAAAATTTACATTTGATATAAAACATTTATTTAAAAATTTTTATTTGATTTGAAAACTTTAATTTTATTTGAAAATGTGATCTTAAAGTTTGAATTTGATTTGAAAGTTTGAATTAGATATATATATAAAAAAACTGAATTAGATTTGAAAATGTGCTCAGATTAGCTCAGAAAGGCCACTAACATTTCCCCTCTCGAACTTGTTGATGTTGTTCTTGCAGTTGATGAGGCTGCGGTCACCAGTGTCGCCCAGATCCCCGATCAGACACAGAAACACATGCGCATCCGTCCCGCTGCCGCTCACATCCCCTGTGTAGACGGTCACTCGATACTTCACCACTGCAGGACAACAACACACACACATTAGGGGCCATTCACACTAGAAGGAGAGCAACAATACAGACTTCTCACAGCTTGGTTAGGTTTTAGATCATGATTTCGGTACTGTTCAGTATATGATATGCTCTGTTCAGAATATGATGTGCTCAGTAAAAAACAGGACACTGTCAAATAAAAATCTACAAGCAAAGGCATGCATATATTCGAGAAATGCAAAGGCAGGCATATATTGTCTCAAAACAAACTTTTATTTGCAATTAAAAGTTAATGCAATTCATGCAATTAATCGTAATTATTCTTTGCCCTGCACAAATGCAATTCAATGCAATTTAATACAATGTAATGTAATGCAATACAATATATTATAATACGAGTACCAGGCAGTGGTTCAGCGATCAGCTCTCCTGTGGCCGGCAGCTCTCGCACCACCTCATTATCGTCCTCATTGGTGTCCAGCCAGCGTTCACATGGGAATTTAAACTTCTCCTTTGTGAGAGTTTTCATTATGGAAATCTATAATTAAGAGGATAATTTAGACAGGTAAAGGGTCAAAGACTGAATGCAGCTTTTATGGAGAAGCTCCTACTCGACTCAGATGCCAGCCGGCGAACGGATTCCTCTTCTCATGCCAGATACGCAGTTTGGTCAGTTTTCCCAAATCCGGCAGTTCGACCTGAAGCAAACGAGTGATGGATGAATTATTCAGTGCAGAATACAAACATTTAGCTGAAGATGGAGTTATTCACCCTTTTGTGAAATCTTACAGTTTTTCTCAGTCACTTCGGTGCGTTTCTCACAACACCAGTGCATTTCTGCACTCTGCATTTCTCAAAACAATTAGTACAAACTGCAAAACCTAGCTGATAACCTGCAAAAGCATGTCACATGATCAAAATGGATAGTTCATTACTCAAAAGCAAGTATTCATAATAATGAAAGTGTCAGTGTCATCAAAATGAAAAGTCTTGACAGCATTGTTTATGAACAAGACAGTCAAATGGCTTAGTCATTTTTTCATGATGACAGTTTACTCTGGACATTTTTTCAATGAAGATTTTAGTGACACTTCCTGAAAATGCTCAAGACAGCTATTAGCACAGCCTTTTACTTTAAATGGTATGTAACTCGGGCAGAGCTCTGATAGCGGAACATAGTTTTTTGTCATTTCCAAAGTTTTTGAAGTTCTTTCTAATTTAAAAAATATATATATAAGAAAAGGGACAGAAATATGTTCCAAAGATGTATTTTTTAGATTTATAACACTGTCAGAAATATTTGCTTTCTGTATCCATTTGTCCCTGACAGGGTGGACATATTTTGTAAGTTGGTCCAAATGTTTTTGCTTATAATTGTTTTATTAAAGGTCCAGGAGCTGGACCAACCAGCAATTGTTGAAGTTTAAAGTCTTCTTAAAAGAATAAACATGTGGTTTAACAAAAAACTTGATAGTCAAATGGCTTAGTCATGTTTTCATTAGGACAGTTTACTCTGGACATTTTTTCATTGAAGATTTTAGTGGCACTTCCTGAAAATGCTCAAGACAGCACTATATACTATTAGCACAGCCATTTGAAAACTAAAGTCAGACATCACTGCATTTTTTGAGGATATCTGAGTACAAGACACTGAAAATGTATGTTTCACTTTTTTTACTGCATTTGCTCTTTACAATCCTAATTTAAAGTACTCACAGTATTGTGGAAAAGTATAAATACACCCTTATTTACGACAAACATAAACTCCCTTTGGGTAGAGCTGTGCACAACTGTAAATAATATTGCAGTACATATTGAAACTAAACCTAAAACACACACAGGTCTGTAAATCATTTATGAAATCAATTTAGAAGACATTTTCAGGAACATTAAGATTTCATTTTTTTTATAAAAATGCTCGACAGATTTTAACAACTAGTTCACCATTTTTGTATGTAATGACTCAAGTAATGAAATGAGGACTGTTAGTTTTATATGGAGTGACGATTCAGCATTCACAAGTTTAGTTCATTTTTACAGACATGACATAAGCAAATAGCAGAGAGTTGTTTGAAAGCAGTTGATGCATGTCCAAAAGCATTTGCAATTTGCTGGAAGGAATGAAACTACTAGGATGTGCACAAATGACTAATTGTTTTGAGAAATGTTTTAACTGTTGTGCAAATGTAAATAGTGCAGTGAGAAATGCACCAAAGCCACTGAGAAAAACTCATATTTTTTTTTATTTCCCATGAGGACAAACTATTTAACACAGTATTTCCTATTATACAGAGAAAGTTATATATTTATATAAATATATATTATTTTTTTATTTTTTTTTTTTGTATTATATATATATATATATATATATCAGAGGTCGCATTAAACGAATATTTTCCGTCATTGATGGATTTTTTTTCAGCAGTGATAGAAAAATCTGAAAGTGATCCTTCATTTTGACAGATTATGCTGAGGGTGATCTACTGTAATTTGTAGCTAACTGTAATTCCCTCTCCTGTCCAGCTGATGGCGACTGCCCTTGTTTTGTCTCCTCTTTGTCACCGCTGCGTACAGTTGCAAAAATCTCACAGCAGCTGAGTGTCAGAAGTTTCTTTAAACAGCCAAATAGTTGTGATATTATTAATAAAGGTGAAAAAAGAGGACGTGATACAGTGGACGATGAAGAACAAACAGACAAAGATCCTCCGTCGCCGACAGCTGTTGTTACGGGCCAACCAAGCGGCAACAAGGAGGTCAGGTGGTTTGGAGTGCGTTGTGAGCACCATGCTCTACCGAATGCAGAGCTATCACAAAAGATGGTTGTTTGATGGGGATAATTAGTTTGCATGGTGGACGAGGATGTTTTAATTTATGTTACTTGAGTGTGAATAGGTTTGCGGCTGGAAGGCCATTAGCTGTGTAGAACATGTGCTGGATAAGTTGACTGTTCGTACCGCTGTGGCGACTGTTTGTTTTATTCTTCATTAGTATTTCTGAAGCCATACATTGTTTTTTAACAGAGGACCACAATGGAAATAAGCCCAGGGCTTTATTGTGTTTTTATCCTCAACAGTTTTTTTTAACAAAGTGTATGGAATACTTTTTGTACAGTTTGTCTAAAGTCTGTCAAATAAAATTCAATTCAATTCAATTCAATCCACATTCAGAAAATCCAGCAAACTTCTGATCACTTTCTTAGGAGAAATGTTTCACTACAAAATGCTGGCTGAAGTGGCGCTACCCAGATAGCAGGTAGTAATTGGCCTGAGCTCGTCTGCCCTTCGGCGCCTCCGGCTCCGACTCGGCATCGGCAAGTGTTATCCAGGCCGAGTATGGCCCGCAGCTCGCTCCCGTACATGCGTTTGTGATGCAGCTGTAAAGCACTGGCCCGATTCCTGTTAACCATATCTGGCCCAAGTCTGTCAGTAGATTCCGGGCCGCTTCTGGCAATGACTCTCCAGTGTGACAGCAAAACACAGCTTCAGCCTCCAGAACAAATTTACAACTGTGACGAGAAGTCGACTTTCCGAGGCAAAGACACAGAATTTAATGTCAATTGCCTCTGCATCAGTGTCTCTTGATGCGTTTGATGACGCACAGGCAAGCACCCAGCTCAAGTCGACGCAGGAGGAAGATATGAGTTAAGGCAGATAGGAGTTATTGTTCATTTGTCAAATAAATAAATGAATAATTTAGCCTATATGCTCGTCGTGCAAGTTCATTATTAAAATATGAATGAAAAAAGCGATTAGAAAATATGTAAATGAATTGGCGGTCAATAATAGATTATGACGGAATTTTTACAACCCTCTCCGTCAAAATGATGGACAATGACAAAGTCTAACGCGACCTCTGAGATATATATATGTATATGCATATATGTGTGTGTGTGTGTGTGAATATACAGACAGTATTTAGCATAAATGTGTACACCCCCTTTTGTAAATGAATATTTGTATACATGTTTTTAGTGAAAATAGATTTAATGATTCAGTAAATAATTCTGGTGTATTTATAAAATAAAAAAATACTAAAAAAACTATAAAAGTCAATGGCTAATTTCTGCTATTCTTCAAAATATCTCTGATGGTGAGTAAATTATGATGACAGAATTTTCAATTTGCGTGAACTGAACCTTTAAATGCAAAGTGAAGTGTTTACTTTAATGCCTTAAAGACAGACAGGAGCATTATTTTTCTTCAGTTTTGTCTTCAGCAAGTGAAATACATGCTCAATCGGATTCAGTTCAGGTGATTGACTTGGCCATGTAAGAATGGGTTTTAACCACTGCGGTTCGAACTGTAGTTCTGCCGAGTGACTAAAAACTTATCAGCATTTTGTCTCTTTCCAATTACTGAGAGATTCAAATTGACCAATCAACATCATATATAATCATATCAGTAAAACCCCCAAAGTCCACACATCAGGTCCTGATCTAATCAGTATCTGCCTTTGGAATTTGTGTGAGCCTTCTTTGGTGAAAAAGATTATATAAACAAATCCACATGATAATTTTCATTCCTACAGCCATTGCATAACACTCTTTGGTTGCTTTCGCAGTATTCTTTGGCTCATTCTCCATCAGCACTATGAAGCGCCGTCTAATTAAAAATACTGAGGTCTGAAGCATTTGGCTGAATATGAGCAGAACATA